GGTTCTACTTCCTGGATGATGATGCACTCGGGGCAGTTGGCCCACTTGCCACTCCAGAGGAGGGTCCTTTGCCTCGGCAATCCTGCATCAAAACAAGAAGACAGCAGCGGGGCAACAATTGTGATCAGTGTGAACAAAAAATGTAGAAAAGTTTGGATGAATTGAAGTAAATGAGCGCTTAACAATAGCAAACGTATGAATCCGTTAACAAACTCTCGCTGGTTTGAGGTGACTCAACACAATTGCTACATTGGCTTTGGACAAGACGCTTGGACATGTTTTAAAAAACTAAACATAGATATAGATTATGAATGCTTCAAACATCTTGACCTATTTACAAGACTCATTTATCCAGTAGTATGCTCACAACTTCCCAAACCAAAATTGCTTGTCCACTCAAAACGTACTATTAAAACCCCAGGGTGCGTTTCTTTGGGTTTTCAATTTGGGAATGGAGTCTTAAGGCGGTTCTTGTTTGATTACTTGTTCTTGAGGCTCTAAACAAATACTACAAATGGGAAAAAGCTTCTTGTTGTAATTTGTGGTGCTGAGTTACGCAATGTCTCTCTTTGTGCGTAAGTTATACATATGTTGAATTATCTTTTTTTCTACGAAAGGCCAGAATGTAGTTTACCATAACAATGAAACATTTTGTAAATAGTCTTAGGCAAGTTAAACTTTGTAACCAGTCAGGATGGAGAAAATGATTTTAATCTATTTTTCCCATACTACTTGTTCTACAATGAAAACAGCAATATTTAAGAATTAGACTTGACGAGTTTGTTACAGTTGCTTTTACAGAAACACTCAGGGGTTTTCCCACCTGCTAAGAATAAAAGAAACAAACGAAATCCCTTTAATGCTTTGGGAGGAAGTTGTATTTATTTTAACATTGGCATGAAATTCCCTTGTGCAATGCCTCTTCTGTCTCCAGGGCCTGTACCTGTTGATCCCTTCAGTTCTCTGTGTGTGTGTGAGTGTTTTGATCTGTATGGTTTGAATCTGCGAATACAAATGGGGCTTTTACCTTCCAGTACAACATCATCTCTCTCAGGAAGTATATGATAGGTCCAGGTCTGTTTTATGCAATCATCTCCTCTAAAAGAAGATTTGAAAAACAAATACACCTTAAGTATGTAGCAGATTTATATTTCATCACAAAATGACATCATAAGATACTTTCATTTTTGAAACACACTTTCACATCTGTAACAGTTTCACCGCGTCACTTCCCTAAGTCGGGTATCTATTTATGATGTGTTGTTCTATTCTGTCCTGTTTTAACATGTTGTAAATCAGTTTCACCTCCTTATAGTTGTAATGGTAATATTCTTTCTTCATTTCATACTAGTTTTAGAAAAATAAGTATTTGATCTCATGTTCACATGATGGGTTGAGAAACATCTTCTTGTTTTTCTTGATATGTATTCACTATAAGCTAATGTGTGTATTTGCTGCCTCACATGCGCATCTGTCCGGTCACCAGCAGTGTGTCATTGACCGGCTCCTCCATGGTGATCCACATGTTGTCCATTACTTTGAACCTCTCGATGTCAGCCTCTCTCTGACTGACTGCTGCTTTAAAGTACCATTTCCCCAGAAACTGAAAGAGAAGGAGACACAGATGTTGACAGTGTGGGGCGACAGAAACGTAACCTATTTAAAGGTGGAAACCAACAATGCGGAAAAACATGATACGACTTACAGTATGAAATAACATAGGGGGAGGAAAGACTCTCTGTCGGACCACATTCTGAATTTATCTCAGTAATGCATCTAAAGAAAATCCCATTGCTTTAATTATTCAATAATTCACTCGGGTTGTTGAAATCTTTAAACGTTTCTGAATTTGAGGTGGGGAAGAAATTAAAGCCTTAAAGGTTTTTGAAAAGAGACATTTATAAACAAGGGTTATTGAAAGTGCTCCATCACTAAACTTTAACAAAAAATGTTTTACTGTGCAGTTTATGAAAAGGAGTGAACCGTCACAGCAACACAGCAACATTGAAAGGGTTCAAACATTCAAGCCTTTTTTTAAATGTGTTCAGTGATCTTTGGTACATTTGTAATCAAAAGTAACCCTGATCCATTTCTCAAACTATTAATTGGGCCTGGAAAGTCCTTGAATTCGATTTTTAAGGTGGGTAAACCATTTCACAAAAATCTGAAGACTAACATTAATGAGCTTATATGTGTCCCAAATTACAATTGTTCTCTTAAAAAGGAGTTTCCTTGGATAGTCATCCATACACAAAGGCATTGACATACATCAAATGCTTTACCTTTTTCATAATAATCTATATCATATGAGTAGCTATTACACTTTGATAAACAGAATATCTATATATTTGGTTTCTCACCTGCTGATGGTCGACAGTGTTGGCAGGCAACTGTTCAGGAACCGAACAAAGAACAAAGGCCTGATACAACAAGCCATATAAACACAGAACATATGATAATACTGTAGCCAACATAACTGCAAATCAGAGTTTATACTCGACAACCCGATCAGAATGTCTGTTTTTCCTCAGGGCACAATTTATTTGTGCCAACATGTCTAAAAGGAGAGTGGGTGTAGGTAAATGATTAAACATGCAGGGCCGTAATACCCCTGATCTTCAGAAGAAGCAATGAAATATGGCCAGTCTCTGTCCCTCTGGCTTTAGGTGAAACACATTTATAGTCAATGAATAATTATTTCACTAAGCAAGCTTGTTTTCAAATATCCTTAAAACTCTCCACAAAGACTAAGTCACCGTCACATTCAGGAGGAAGCCATTTCTTTTATATCACTTCTAAAAAAGCTGTAAATGATAGAAAGTGAGTATTGACAAGAAAACCACCATGATACAACCTCATGTATCCTTTTCGAAATATCAACAAGAAAAAACATTGTTAACTTGTTTGTTTGAGAATGTCCTGAATAAATAAGTCTGACTCTGTCGACATACATCTACTAGGAATCATTAACTACTTGTTCGAAGGCGAAGCCAACTGTGGTTTTTATCACCTTGTTTTTCTGTCCTTATCAGGTTTTGAGAAACAGAATTGCAGACACATTTTTTGACTTCTGAGAATTCATTATTTTGGCCCATTAAATGTGTTTTGATTCAACCTACTTGCTCATCTCTTATATAAGTTATCTCGATGTAAACTTATATCTGAGATGTTTCACTGCAGTTTTACAAATACTTCCACCAGGTGGTGTCAAACAACTAGCTTGTCTACAGATTACACCTGAAGAAACACATTTTGATATCAACAGCTTCCTACATCAAATCCACTGATCAACAAATGTCCACTAGACATGATTTTATCTAAATTAATCATGTTTTTATTAATGAATATCAGTCTACTGTATTACGATTTATGTTTCATTGCAATCTGTTCATTACTTCTAGGTCTTGCACAATTAAATCGAAACATATTTGTACTTAAAGAGCTGTTCTAGTAGAAGGATTATGTTGTGCTTGTTTGTTCACACATTCTAGTGACATTTCAAGCATGTTATCTAGATAAGAGAAGTAGCACAAAAAAACACCAGATCTTAAAGGTTTTTCTTGTATTTTTATTCATAATATTATTGATGAAGTATGTGCCACCTAGAGTTAATTATAAGTGTTTAAACTAGAGTGATATTGAATGTAGTTAGACATCGTTTTTCTGTCTTAAATAAAATAAAGGTGGAGAGGAAGGCATGAAAAGTCAGAGGCTGGGTAAATAATGTTTTATTAAATATAAATCCATTCTCGTGTGAGTCTGTGAATACTGGAAGGTTAGATGTAACCTAAAAACAAATAGCAGATATGTTCTAAAGTTGGCCGTTCTGAGTGCATTTACCTTATGTCAGATAGGGATTTGTAAAATTAAGATTAACCTTCAACATTTCACTCAATAATGATTAACTGCATGTTCAATGTTGGCCTTTAGTAGAACACAAACGTATCTAAATGCTACAACAGATTTGGTTATATGTGAAACAATTTGATTGTTAGATCTAATATTTATTTTCATAAATGCATTCATTTCCTGGCCCTCAGGATCAGTGGCACAGGGTCGATGCTGGGCATGTGCAGTGGCTTGTTGTTCCCCCTTGCAGATGGCATGTCAAATCCATCTAGGATTCCCCCTTCAGCACTGACACCAGCTCTCCACTCTCCTTCAGCTCCTTTAGTATGTCCAAACCACCGATCAGATCTCCTTTCACGTAGAGTTGGGGGTAGGTTGGCCAGTTAGAATAGGTCTTGAGCCCCTGACGCACCTCTTCATCCTGCAGAATATCAAATGTGTTATAATCTACCCCGGTGTCGTTCATAAGCTCCAGTGTCTGCCTGCTGAAGCCACATTTTGCAGCCTCCTTGTTGCCCTTCATGAACACCATGACTGGGCTCTGGTTGATGATGGTTTTCAGACGGTGCTCCAGGGTGACAGTCTTTGGACAGGTGCTCTCCAGCTCTCCAGACTCAGCCAGCTCCTTCACTATATCCAGCCCTCCGACCAACTCTCCATTCGCATACAGTTGAGGGTAGGTGGGCCAGTTGGAGTAGGTCTTCAACTCTTGTCGGACCTCCTCGTCGGAAAGGATGTCGAAGGTGCTGAACTGGATGTTGTGCTCCTTCAGCAGGCCCACTATCTGTCGGCTGAATCCGCAGCGGGGCTCCTGCGAGGATCCTTTAATGAAGAGCATGCAGGGCGCCGCGTTGATCAGCTTCTTCAGCCGCTGGTTCAGGTCCGTGGTGCTGCTGTCCACCCCTGCAGCAGCATTTCCGGCAACTGCCAGGCGCTCTACCTTCTTGGTCAGCTCCGGAGCATGGGCCCCGTCCAGGCGGTCTACTTTCTCCCCTCCCTTGAAGAAAAGGAAAGTGGGCACAGAAGCGATTTCATACTTCTCTGACACCTCCGGGACCGCCTCTGCCTCCAGCTTCACAAACGTGGTGTGCGTATGTTCCTTCGCCAGCACGGCCATCACTTCGTTCATTTGGCCGCACTGAGGAGCCCATGCTGCCTGGAAGTGCACTACAGTCAGGCATTTTCCAGCTTTGGCTAAGAAATCCTCAAACTGCTGATTTGTTGTCGCCTCCACGAGATTCGCCATTTTTCCTTCCTATTTGCTGCGCTTCCGGTGTCGGCCCAACGTCACATCCGTGCAGCCTGGTAGCTTCTGGCAAGTACCAGAGCTTGTACTCGGAAGTCATTTGCATGTTATTTGGTGATAAGAAACAGCTGCATACACTGGATAAGTTGAAAGGATAGTGTGTCTTAAAAGGTAACCGTTATACATCACACCACGGTCTTCATGAAAATAACATATGTGATCGTCTCTGATGTATGTTTGTTTTAATGTTTGGCGTAGTTAGCATTAGCTTAGCCTCTTTTCTAACGCTGGCCATAGTTAGCTTCGTTGCCAACGTTTTTAGGTTAAGCTATGCTAATCCTGCTACCAAGCTGATGCTAACTAACGGCAGCTACTAACGGTGTTTGTAATGACTGTTGGCGTTACATGTCACTGTTGAATTGGGGCTGAAATGTAAAAAACAGTGTCGTTGACAGGCTTCGCGGGATACATACGCTACGCTAATTTAGCTAGCGTTACCGTACGAGCTGATGTTTAACTAACATTATTATGCTAGCTAGCAAGTTACTTAGCTAACGTTAGCTGCTAAGCCTCTGCGGTTTAGTACTACAATTAGACATGGCTTAAGTTACTTAAACAAATGTGTATGTGTTTGCTGTTATTATAACTGATATTAAGAGAGCAACAATTTGCCAGTTTTGTAAAGATTGATTGATGTGGTGTAAAGATGTACTCTATTTAAGTACCATTTTGAGGTACTTGTACTTTGCTTGAGTAAATCAATGCTTTGCTACTATGTACTTCTACCCTACTACATTTCCGAGGTAAATCGTGTACTTGTACTCCTCTTCATTAATGTAATACCTTTAGTTGCTTTGCAGATTTGGATCAACGATTTGAATTATAATCAGCACCCAAATAAGACTTTCATTTTGATTGCAGGACTTTTACATGTTAGAGTATTCCTTCTGGTATTTCGACTTTTACATAAGTGCAATATCTGAGTGTTTTCCTACTTGTTTGTTTGTGTATATACGTGTTTGGTATTTGTAGAAGCCTGCTGATAATGTGTATTGCTTGGTTAGTCGTGTATGATGTAGTGACTAGTTGTTCAGGCTGTTACATGTTTCTAATGACCAGGAGTTTAGACAAATCTTCAGACATTATATTTACACAGACTTGTATGAATTATAAGACTCGTAGAGGTTATTATACACATGTTTAAATAGTAACATTAAGCAGGCGAGCTACACTTTTAAAAAAAAGTATTATTTTTCCTTTTCAAAGTGAATTGAACGATTCAACAATAATACTTTTTGATAAATATTTCTGTCGATTAATCAGCTATAGTCACACAACACATTTTATTCTTTGAATTAGTGCCGAAACTGCGGATTATTCAAAATGTCAACTAATCTCTCAAATGAAAGCACATCATCAATCTTCTTAGCGATTTGCATTTTCTGCCTTTTCTCGATCCCTAATTTTGGTAAAGGGAATATCTTTGGTCTTTGAAATAATGGGTAAAAAAACAATTATCGTGGGCTTTTTTCAACTCTTGATCAAAAATACAGACTAATTGGGAATAATAACTTTTTTTACCGTTGTAGAATGACATGTTAAAAATAATCAGATAACAATATGACTATTTGACTGACTAATTCATTTTTCAGCTGTAACATGTAACATATTCTTAGTCACATGTAACATATTCTTAGTCACATGTAACATATTCTTAGTCACATGTAACATATTCTTAGTCACATGTAACATATTCGTAGTCACATGTAACATATTCTTAGTCACATGTAACATATTCGTAGTCACATGTAACATATTCTTAGTCACATGTAACATATTCTTAGTCACATGTAACATATCCTTAGTCACATGTAACATGTTCTTAGTCACATGTAACATATTCTTAGTCACATGTAACATATTCTTAGTCACATGTAACATATTCTTAGTCACATGTAACATATTCTTAGTCACATGTAACATATCCTTAGTCACATGTAACATATACTTAGTCACATGTAACATATTCTTAGTCACATGTAACATATTCTTAGTCACATGTAACATATTCTTAGTCACATGTAACATATTCTTAGTCACATGTAACATATTCTTAGTCACATGTAACATATTCTTAGTAACATGTAACATATTCTTAGTCACATGTAACATATTCTTAGTCACATGTAAACATATTCTTAGTCACATGTAACATATCCTTAGTCACATGTAACATATTCTTAGTCACATGTAACATGTTCTTAGTCACATGTAAAATGTTCTTAGTCACATGTAACATGTTCTTAGTCACATGTAACATATTCTTAGTCACATGTAACATATTCTTAGTCACATGTAACATATTCTTAGTCACATGTAACATATTCTTAGTCACATGTAACATATTCGTAGTCACATGTAACATATTCTTAGTCACATGTAACATATTCGTAGTCACATGTAACATATTCTTAGTCACATGTAACATATTCTTAGTCACATGTAACATATCCTTAGTCACATGTAACATGTTCTTAGTCACATGTAACATATTCTTAGTCACATGTAACATATTCTTAGTCCCATGTAACATATTCTTAGTCACATGTAAACATATTCTTAGTCACATGTAAACATATCCTTAGTCACCATGTAACATATACTTAGTCACATGTAACATATTCTTAGTCACATGTAACATATTCTTAGTCACATGTAACATATTCTTAGTCACATGTAACATATTCTTAGTCACATGTAACATATTCTTAGTCACATGTAACATATTCTTAGTCACATGTAACATATACTTAGTCACATGTAACATATACTTAGTCACATGTAACATATTCTTAGTCACATGTAACATATTCTTAGTCACATGTAACATATTCTTAGTCACATGTAACATATCCTTAGTCACATGTAACATATACTTAGTCACATGTAACATATTCTTAGTCACATGTAACATATTCTTAGTCACATGTAACATATTCTTAGTCACATGTAACATATCCTTAGTCACATGTAACATATTCTTAGTCACATGTAACATGTTCTTAGTCACATGTAAAATGTTCTTAGTCACATGTAACATGTTCTTAGTCACATGTAACATATTCTTAGTCACATGTAACATGTTCTTAGTCACATGTAACATATTCTTAGTCACATGTAACATATTCTTAGTCACATGTAACATATTTCTTAGTCACATGTAACATATTCTTAGTCACATGTAACATATTCTTAGTCACATGTAACATATTCTTAGTCACATGTAACATATTCTTAGTCACATGTAACATATTCTTAGTCACATGTAACATATTCTTAGTCACATGTAACATATTCTTAGTCACATGTAACATATTCTTAGTCACATGTAACATATACTTAGTCACATGTAACATATTCTTAGTCACATGTAACATATACTTAGTCACATGTAACATATTCTTAGTCACATGTAACATATTCTTAGTCACATGTAACATATTCTTAGTCACATGTAACATATTCTTAGTCACATGTAACATATTCTTAGTCACATGTAACATATTCTTAGTCACATGTAACATATTCTTAGTCACATGTAACATATTCTTAGTCACATGTAACATATACTTAGTCACATGTAACATATTCTTAGTCCATGTAACATATTCTTAGTCACATGTAACATATTCTTAGTCACATGTAACATATTCTTAGTCACATGTAACATATCCTTAGTCACATGTAACATATTCTTAGTCACATGTAACATATTCTTAGTCACATGTAACATATTCTTGAGTCACATGTAACATATTCTTAGTCACATGTAACATATTCTTAGTCACATGTAACATATTCTTAGTCACATTGTATGCTATGTCACATGTAACTATAACTTAGTCACATGTAACAATATTCTTAGTCACATGTAACATATTCTTAGTCACATGTAACATATACTTAGTCACATGTAACATATATTAGTCCATGTAACATATTCTTTCACAGTTCATACTATGTACATATCCTTAGTCACATGTAACATATCCTTAGTCACATGTAACATATACTTAGTCCACATGTACAATATTCTTAGTCACAGTAAAACATATTCTTAGTCAACATGTAACATATTACTTAGTCACATGAACATATTCTTAGTCCACATGTAACATATTACTTAGTCACATGTAACATATTCTTAGTCACATGTAACATATTCTTAGTCACATGTAACATATTCTTAGTCACATGTAACATATTCTTAGTCACATGTACATATACTTAGTCCACATGTAACATATTCTTAGTCACATGTAACATATTCTAGTCACATGTAACATGTTCTTAGTCACATGTAACATATTCTTAGTCCACATGTAACATATTCTTAGTCACATGTAACAGTTCCTAGTCACATGTAACATATTCTTAGTCACATGTAACATATTCTTAGTCACATGTAACATATTCTTAGTCACATGTAACATATTCTTAGTCACATGTAACATATCCTTAGTCACATGTAACATATACTTAGTCACATGTAACATATTCTTAGTCACATGTAACATATTCTTAGTCACATGTAACATATTCTTAGTCACATGTAACATATCCTTAGTCACATGTAACATATTCTTAGTCACATGTAACATATCCTTAGTCACATGTAACATATTCTTAGTCACATGTAACATATTCTTAGTCACATGTAACATATTCTTAGTCACATGTAACATATTCTTAGTCACATGTAACATATTCTTAGTCACATGTAACATATTCTTAGTCACATGTAACATATTCTTAGTCACAATTCTTTAAAAACAGATTTGTGGGGTTGTCATAAAGTATTGTTAAGACATGACACACTATTGTATGCTACAGGAACACCATGGAGGAACAAACTGCAGACATAGAGGTGACAGTCAAAACACTCGACTCCCAAAGCAGAACCTACACTGTTGGTGCTCAGGTAAGTTATTCTGTTCCTGTTGCAAACTCTGGAATGAAGTCTCGTTTTTTGTCAGTGATTGCGGAAGTTTGACTCAAGTGTGTACCATGTTCTTATAGTTGACAGTGAAAGAGTTTAAGGAGCACATTGCCCCCTCAGTGGGTATCCCTGTGGACAAACAGAGGCTGATCTACCAGGGCAGAGTCTTACAGGAGATACTGACTTTGGCAGACTACAGTAAGTCAACGGGTTCTGTGCATTTTGTTTTATTGTGTCGGTCAATATTCATATACTATTCCCCAAGTTATTGGAAGCAATTCAGAATTCACCTAGACATTCTCTGGTGTCTTGAAACAAGTTGAAGTCAACCCACCATCATGTATGTACAGATAAACCATATGTCTCTGTTGTTTACCCAGATGTGGATGGCAAGGTGATACATCTGGTGGAGCGTGCGCCCCCTCCACCCTCCCAGCCTGGCTCAGGGTCCGGAGGCACTTCAGCCGACAGCGGACCCTCCTCTTCCTCCCAAGGATCGTCACAAGGGCCTCCACATGATCGCAATGCTAACAGCTACGTGATGCTAGGCACCTTCAACCTTCCTGTGAACATCATGGACCCCCAGCAGATACAGGTAGGTCTGCCTTGTCACTTGGTAAGGATGTTTAGGGCACTAAAGGGGAATCACATCTATTCCATACATCAAAGTGTGTTTACAAAAGTAAAAAGCCTTTTGTGGTTCCAGAGGAGTTAGTATAAGTGAGCTTACAAGACCTCTGTAGCACTCTCCATTTTTCAATTTTCCTGCAAGAGTTCCACAGTACTATTTTAATATACATACTATTTAAACATCTATCATAATGCTGTAGTTTCAACAAATATTGTACATATTCCACGATAGAACAATTACTAAGTCAAATGTTCTCCTGGTGAGCTCCCAATGATTTCTGACAAAAACATGAACAACTTGAAAAGCAGACATGCTTATTTACTTTGATTAATGTTGTCCAGCCATTATATCATCTCAGAAATTGGTCTTGCATCTCAAGTGTTGTTTACGAAGGTGGTTCTTCTTGTTTAGATGTCTGTTCAGCAGATGGTGTCTGGTATGGGAGAGAATGCCAGGAACGCCAGAGTCACAACCAGCACTGGGGTAAGATGCCAAATGACGACATACAAAGCAAAATGACATAATCCTGTGTTTTGTTTATTTATACCCTCTTCTATTTCAGAGCAATGGGTCCGTGAATGTGCACATTGATATGGACCAACCTGTGCAGAGTGAGCCTCGGCTGAGGCTGGTGCTGGCCGAGAACCTGCTGAGGGACATCAATGATGTCATCCAAAGGATGGAGGTGAGAACTTTACTTGAGTAGCAAAGCTCCAGAGAAATCTTATTACTAATAAAAATTGCTTTCCTTTTTTCAGAGTCGCCCGAGCGACTCGTCCACTCAAACAGAGACGGCTGCTGCTGCGGCTGCTGCTGCTGCTGCTGTGGCTGCTGCTGCGGCGCCTCCTCCTCCATCATCCTCATCCACCACCTCTACTCCCTCCCCATCTGCCCAGCCCATGGACACCTCCCCACCTCCAACAACTCCCCCACCTCCACCCACCACTTCAGCACCATCTGAGGGACCAGCCCCCCAACCTGGACCACAGTGAGACTTCCTTTCTCTCTCCCAGATTCACATACAAATCATTCAGCATAGAAACAATGGATATCATTTCCGGAACTGCAGGAACCATAACTTCTTATCGTTTTATTGAAACAAAAGTTGTTGTATCTGTCTATTTATAGTATCTTGCTTTCAATATACAAAGTAATACTGTTTATATTGTTCTTTTCGATTGTAATCAGCTCTGCACTCTTCTCTCCCGCTAGTCACCCCAGCCCAGCTGAGTTGGCGGAGATGTTGTCTGAGCTGCGCAGGGTGGAGGAGAGACTGCAGCCTTTCATTCAGAGAGCTCACACCATCCTGGAGACGGCCACCAACGCTGAATACAACAACAATACAGTAAGATTCAAACAGCCAAATAATAATATATAATCTTTAGTATACTAATGCATTTCAAAGACAGGCCTGGATATCCATATTGCTAATTCATGGTAGTTCAAGGAAAGAAACAACTTTAATATAAAGTTATTATTTTGCCATTATTTTTGTATTAATAGGATTATAACAAATGCTGTTTTTGAAGGACTAAACTTCGAGCTGCTTGTAGGTGGGTTTGTTATCTTTAAATAGAACCAGGCTAACTAGTTCCCTTTGTTTCCAGTCTTTGTGCTAAGCTAAGCTAAACAGCTGCTGATGTTATATCATATGACAAGAAAAAGGAACCAATCTTTGTTTGTTTGGTGTACCTAACGTAGATTATATAATTAAGATGTGGCCTAAAATGGTTTGTCTTCTGTGACAGGAAAGAGAGGAGGACCAGCGCACTCTCATCATGACGTGGGAGTGTCTCCGTCTCCTTGGTAACGCCCTTGTGGCTCTCAGTGACCTGCGATTGAACCTCATGAACCCTGTGCCCCGCCACCTGCATGTGGTCCGGCCATTTTCCCACTATGCCACCCCAGTCAATATGCCTGGAGCCGTGCACCACCACATCCCTGTGCAAGTAAGTGATATTAAGCCCATGTTATTATTCATACTTCATTTTAATGTTATGAGACTGACTGTGTTTGCATCGTCACCGACAGATGAACCTGGGTGCCACAGTGACTGCTGCGAGTAACAGCACTGACGGACAGGCACCGCCCACCCAGCCTGGCAGCCAATCGGAGCAGGCTGGTCCTGGACAAACCCCTCCCTCTCAGTCTTCCCCGTCCAATCAACAGGCTGGACCGGGACAGGCTGGCCCCCGTGTCATCAGGATCAGCCACCAGGCTGTCCCGGTGGTCATGATGCAGATGAACACGGATGGTGAGTTGTCCCCTACCCGCCACTGATTGAAAAGTGTTTGTGTGTGTTATTGCTGGGCAGCAGTGCGTTGGAGTTACATCATTGCTCATACCACACACTGCTGCTACTATCAGAGTGACATGAAGAGAGGAACATTGATCGCATCTGATTTTCAAGTTTTTTTTTTCATGATGGATCTGTTCTTCTCTCCTGTAAAAGAGAGTATTGGTAGTATTTTACAAATAGTTCAAACTTATTTGTTTGTGCAGGCCAAGGAGCAAACCCTGCTGCAGCCGGACAGCAAATCCCGGGACAACCAGGTAAAGGCCAATTCATATATTTGACATACTTCATTTTATTTAAAAAAAAAAAAAAAAAAGTCCTTTAGTGTAAAGCCTTTTCCAGGTTATCCATTTTATTTTAAACTTCCCAACAAGTTCAATATAACACTGTTCATTTGTTTGGATCTGAAATGTATCCTTCTTTTTGTGACTCCAGTTAATAGTTTTCTGCTGGTAACAAAACATTTCTAATGCATTTATTTGTGTGTCCCCCCTTCAGGTGCCCTCCCCCCTGACTTCATGCGGAATCTGATGCAACAGATAAGCCAATATGCCGCCGCCGTAGCTACCAGCGCTGCCACTGCTGCTGCTGCCGGACACCCAGTCCCCCCCCAGCCCACTCCCCCCGGATTCAACTCCACAGCCAACTCCTCAACTACCACCACGGGTCCCAACACACCCACCACCACGCCTACTGCTCCCCCGCCACCCCCACATGGTGGCCCCCAGCCCCAGGCCAGGGTTGTGTTCACCCGTCCCCCCTTTGCACCCAACATGCCCCCCCCAGCCTTTGGCGCTCGAGGAACCACCATCAATGTGAGGGCTGCCATACCGGGCCAGCAGCCAGGACAGGTGACGATAATGTTTTGTGATTTTGCTTCTCGTTTCTGAGGCTAAATGCCAACATTTGACTAATTGTGAAAAATCTCCATCCACAGGCTTTCAACCCAGCTGCTCTCAACCAGATGATTAGTGGACTGGTCGGACAGCTTTTGCTGCCAGGGCAAATGGGTAAGCTTTTTAAAATGGTTTCTTTATTCGCAGCATCTTTCTGTAAAGGTGACAGATTGAAGTTACAATGAACGAGTCATACCTAATGAACAGCAAATGTGTAATTTATTAATTGTAGCATTTTTTTTTCTTCTGGGATTAGGATAGTTTAAAGGCACAATTAGTAGGGTTTTCCAACAATGCAAAATAAAATGTTTAGAACAAAAATAATCCCATTCCATCATATGGACCACAGAAAGGTGTGCTCGTCTCAGAATCTGCAGACCCTGCCCTCTGCATCCATTTTCTCTCTTCTTGGGGACGTTTATGGCACCGACCTCAATAAAAACGTGCAGGAAAAACACACACATAGTGAGATGAAATTCTAAATTGTTCTTCTAAAACAAGAGTAAACTTGGGTTGGCACAACTTTTATATTTTGCTTTTTAAAAAGGCAACCAACAAATCCTACTCATTGTGTCTTGAGAGCATAGAATGACTGGTTTGAGGATTGCTATCAATCAGTGATAACTTAATCTGTTTTTTTACAGCCGGTCAAACAGTCACTTCCTCCTCCTCCACATCCACATCCTCCTCATCCTCCTTTTCTTCCTCCTCTCAAACCTCCTCAGCCTCCTCCTCCTTTTCTTTCTCCAACTCGGGTCCAACTCCTCCCACTGCAAACCCTTCAAGTCAGCCGGGCCAATCTGAGACCACCGCCGGTGACCCGCAGTCCCAGGAGATGCCCCCCGACCTCAGCCAGCTCCTGGGCTCTCTGCTGGGGGGGTCCGGGGTGGGCCCTGGAGGAGCCCCTTCCATCACTGTCACCACGTCTGGTGTGCCTGCCTTCATCCAGGGAGTGAGTGAGTTCATGCAGCAGGTCAGTGTTTGAGTCTTTGACCCGAGTGCACTTTTAGACTTCACCTGAACTTGCATATCATTGATGTAATCCTGTATTACCTGCACACAGATCATCTTCAAGAAGTGCATCGTTTCAAATGTTAAATCAGCTACAGAGCTAATTCGAATAAAACATTATTTTTTGACTGTATGTTTTCCAACAAGGATTATTTAAATTCCTCAAAATATGAATATAGGGCTTTTCATTTAACGAAAACGATTAATTTCAAGTAAAGGGAGCGGTTATTAATCCTAACTCATTGTTTTTTTATGTAATTTCTAGGCCCAGCCCGTCTTTGTTCCTCCCCCTCCTCCCTCTGGCACCGCCCCTGCTCCTGCCGCCGGGCCCACTCCCACTCCCAACCCTGCCGCAGCGGGAGCTGAGGCCCTGAACCCCGAGCTGTTCACGGGCATCGTGCGCGGCGTCCTGAGCACCATGATGGGCTCTCTGGGCCAGGGTCAGAACGACACGGAGAGCATCGCCCAGTTCATGCAGAGGCTGTCCCAGGCCACCAACATCTTCATCAGTCCGGAGGATCCCACCGGTAAAGAACAAAGTATATTAAGTTATCAAAAGGGAGCGTGTCAGAAAAATAAATCTAACCTCAGCTTCTCATGTCATTCCCCAGGATTCTTCGGCGAGCTGCTGATGTTGGTGTGCCAGACGTTCACCATGTCAGACCTGGTGATGCTGCTCCACGGTCAGCACCAGCCTCTCGGACGCATCCAGCCTCAGCTGTCCCAGTTCTTCACGCAGAACTACCTCAACGGCAGGGAGCCCACCGATGAGAACATTGCTGTAAGTAACACTCGCCAGTTTGAAGAGAATCGCTTTTCTTTTACATTGTTGTTTAGATATTTTAGTAAAGGAGTAGTTATACGTAGACATAGCTTCATTATTGGTCTTGTGTTAGATGGTTTGTGTTTGTTATCCCTTTGTGTGACTGACCAACAACTGATAGATTTGTGTCTTCTCCCTCCATGCACCGGCTTGCTTTCCTCACGTCCTCTGCTTCCACCCCCCAGGCTGCGGCTGACACTCTTGTCAACGAACTGGAGGAGTATATCAGTGAGAGCTTTGTAAGTCCTTGATGTCCACTTACTTACAAAACCTTATGATTTAATGCTGGACTCAGAGTCTAATTGTATTCGTCAGCTAAATGACTACACTATTAGACATGGCGGTAATGAATAAAAGCATTAAAACATTGTTATTTCATGTAAAACATGAGGCAAGTTAAGCTGACACTAAAATATACAGAACATGTTATTATACTTCTAATAGTTGTTGGTAAGGGGCATTAACATTTGAGTAAATGTGTTTTTCTATGTGACTCCCACAGAGAGAGTCTTCAGTCACAGTGTTGGAAGGCGTCGATGCTACTCAGACCAACATGTCCTTCTTCAGGCAGCAGCTGATGCTCATTGCCACACACATCCTGCGCTGCACATGTAAACAATGAACATTATAGTTGATTGTTAAGAGTGACTTGGTTTATTTATAGTTTGTGTGGTTCCTGTTTAGCCGCTATTTGTTTGTAAGTGTTGGTTGCAGCACTAAAAGTTACAATATTTGCTATGTTTATCAGAAGTAATGACAAGAGCTGAAGTACTAACGTATAAAATATGATATTGTCTTGTAGGATTGCATTTTGTTGCCAATTGATATCAATGTTTTTTCATCCAGATGATTCATTCGGGCCCCGGCTGCTCCAGATGTGTAACCAGGCGCTGTTTGAGTGTCTGGCCCTCAACCTGCACTGCCTGAGAGGAGACCAGAGAGCCCTCACCGCAGTCATCAACCACCGAATCGTCAGTATTCAATCTCTCCCTGACTCACTCACTGCTTGTTTCTGTCTCTAACTCTACATCAAACTGAATTTAGTATGTCTGGCAAAGGATTTCAAGTGTAGTGCTTTGTGCAAATGTTTTGATGCTACTTAGACTTTTTAAGAAAATACAGAAGAAACATAAAGTTGAACCCTTAACGTAAATGTTTTATTTTCTCTTGTTCCAGCGGAGGATGTCCAGTGACATCAGCCCCAGCCTGGTCAACTGGATGACCAGCATGATGACGATGAGGCTGCAGGTGATTCTGGAGCACATCCCCATCACCCAGGACCAGATCCAGAACTACATAGTTCACACACAGGTAAGGAAGCAGCCGTCTACCTTTAGAACAAAATAATCATTTATCTTTCATCAACAACAACTGGAAAAATTAAACTTGATATGTTTTTTTTCCCAATTATACATTCGATCTGAGTTGTTGGCCAAACATGTTGCAGAGAGAGAAGCAGTCGCTCTTATCCGATGGCTGTTGCATATCCTGTTACTTTGCACAGAAAAGGCTAATAAATATTGTATGGCATTCTTTCAAAGAGAGATACGTCTTCTGCCACTGGCCCACAAGTGCCTGAACGAGCACAAAGTGCAACGGTGAGCATGTCGTGTCTTAAATGTTCTTTCAAATGATCTCAGTTAATGTGTAAGTTACTGCTCTAACCTTTTAGTTCCCTCATGTGGTCTGTTTTCTACTTCCAAAGATCGCGGACACCCTCTCTCCAGCTGCAGCCACCACAGCAGAGGAGGCCATGAACGTGTCACACGACACAAGGGCGTCGTCAAGGGAACCAAGGGTGTTGCCTGGAGACCTGGGGGCCTCAGGAGGAGCAGCACCATTAGGTGGCGACATGGCAGCGGCAGGAGCTGAGGGGGGCAGCGAGGAGTCTGCTCGAGAGTCTGAGGCCTGGGCCGCCTCCGTTCCACCTGTAAGAGTTTTCTGTTTTTACAATGATTTGTTTTCATGACTACATGTTTTGTGGTGGCACCGCCCTGCTTCACACTTAAAGTGTGTACAGTGTCAACTCATTACTTATATTGGAAAATCCAGGAGCTAAGTGTCAACAGCTTATACAGGAACTTTTGTTCTGTAGGGAAGGGCCCACTAAATGTTGTTTTTACTGAAGTCTGTGGATTATACAAAACAATTGGAACCTTTTTTCTGGAAAGACACTTAAAGCTTGGGTTGGAAGTTTATTAGTGTGAATGGGAAACTTTCAACTTTTTAAAAATATGTTATACTTTTTGAAATATTCAGCTTTTTAAACTCTTTTTTTAACATGGAAGTCAATGGGACGACTCTTCAAATCCTCTTTTAACTAGACCAAATGCTTCTCCTTCCACATACTTTCAGCTAGAGACTTCATTCCAACTTTAAAATGATCACAAGACCTTCAGCTATAAAACTTGTTTTTCAGATTTTTGATATATTTTACACTTTTTGAGATATTGAACTTAGTTTGGAGCTTGGTAAAGAGGCTTTCTTCAGATATTAACATCAGTGTGTATTGAGCAGCTCGTTAAGTCTAGAGTGCTTTGATCTCAAAACAGAGTGGAGCAGTGCTTGAAATTCTCCTAAAAAATATTTTACACCTGCCATAATTCCCAAACCCTACACTCCTCAGACATAATTTTTCATGAAAAACGTAGGAAAACATCTCCTAGGTTGGAAAATTAAGAAAAAAAATTAAACAAAATGCCTCTTGAGGGCATGAAGAGACAAAAAGTCCACCTAGACTCCTAGTAAAACAAATCCGGATCTTTCTTCAGAACAGAGAGAAGTACACTTTAGACAAACTGCTCCCATCTTCACATTTACCACACAAAACCCAAAAAAACATATTTCAGTTCATTGGGGTTCCCTGATGCTCACGGGCTGGTAATTTTTTGATAGGAGCCATAGTTTTTGAACAGGTGGCAAAATTGTCAGATATAATCCTCGATGCATTCTTAATGGCACTCAGTGCTGCAGTTGGTTGCCATGGTGTTGCTGGGCAGATTGGAGCCACACACCTGAGTGACATCATCTAATCAGAGCAGACACGCAGACTGGAGGTTTGGATTTTTTCAATAACTTCATCACCATGGTAACCTTTGATCTCTGGGTTTACACACACAGGTGTTTGTAAACATTCAATCACTACTACTTACATTTAATATCTTTATTTAACTCCTTCAGCCTAATTTCAGCTGCAGGAACCATTCAAATATCAAACTATTCAGCCTTTTCAGCACATGATGGGAAACTTTCAACTTTTTCAAAATATGTTATACTTTTTAAAATATTCAGCCTTTTAAAGTCTTTTTCTAACATGGAAGTCATTGCAATGCATTTGAGCTGTAACAATTTTATTCAAATCATTTATTTTCTGCATTTCTCCGCTAAGTTCAGCAACACACTTACTTGGTTTTTGTAGCTAAAAGCAGCTACCTAAAAGCAGCTAATAAAATATTCAGCTTTTTCTGCATTGTCAGCTAAATTCAGCCACAAATGTTCACAGTTTACAGCATTCACACGCATTTTCTGCAGGAAATGCATTTTCTAGTTATTTGTTGTGTCCCACCAGAATTAGAAAATACATCCCTTATCCTGCAGCTCAGCCCCTCATACCAGACAAGCTCAGGCTTATGCACACGTCAGACTGATTCATTTATATTTTCATTATCGTGTACACATACTTCCACCGAGAGGTTTAAATGTTTGCAAGTCAGTCGTCATGCATTTCTCACGTGTCCATATGTAAGCCGTTTGTTTCTGTCACTGTGTCCACTCTGGATTCGACCTCATAGCAAATCTATTCATCAAAACATTTTCTCCAAGCATTTAAAAAGTTTGTCTTTTTAGTTTAAATGTCCCATTTTTTTTTCAATACTGCGACTACAGAGGAACAGTAACGGAAAGAGGTTTTGAAAGATGTGAACCCTCAATTTGTATCTTCTATTACTCTGCACTGTAGGAATGGGTGCCCATCATCAGGTGTGACATGATGACCCAGAGGAAGATGAAGGCTCAGCCCCCACTGTCTGACGCTTATGTGCACGGCATGCCAGCTAAACGCAGGAAGGTAATCAGATCAGTTGTAACTTTACTTGTTTTGTACGAATGCCACGTGTCCTTACCGTCTTTAAGCTGTCTCTGTGTTTTCAGACCGGACTGAGTGGGGGAAGCCTCCTCTCCCTCTCTGACGCCGTGAGCCAAGCAGCCAGGACCGCAGGAGTGAAGCCCATCACTTCTGCTGAGGACTTACAGGAGGACCTGGACACCCAGGAGCTCAGAGAAGCGTATGCAGAGCAGGTAACTGGGCTATGTCAATTACAACAAACGGCACTGCACGTCATTTAGGCTAACTATATTTGTTAGACTTGATTTGAGAAAATATTTTTGACCTACCTCACTAATTGTAGTTGTGAATGCGACCAGTTTCACCATGTGATGCATATATGCCTGATATTCTTATCTTAATTTGTAAGCATTATGTTTTCTAGTTGTATGTATATTGCACCTTTATCTTAGGAAAGCAAAGTCAGCACAAACGTTCACATGGGGTTTTGAATGAGGGTTTCTCCCCTCCTCTTAAATGCTGATCATAGGGAACAAACCTGTGGTCACATGACTGCCTCTCTAAAACCCCTTCTGACATACTGTTAGTATTTCCCACCATGATAATAATCAGAATGTTTTTCCTCTTAGGTTAAAGCAGACATCAAGAAACGAGTGAGGGAAGACCCAGATTTCAACCCTCAGCATTCCCCTAACGCACACAGAGCGTTCTTATCAGACTCGTAGTCAGGTCCAAATGCTATGAAACCCGCAAGCCGCTTTCCTTTTTATTATTTTCTCAGATTCTTCATTCGACTTCTTCTCACTGCAGCTTCGCCCCCTAAAACTGTCGGTATGGCTTTTTAAGCAGTTAGCCGCTCTCTTGACTAATTGCCTCATGCTAATGTGACTCCTTCTCCCAGTGCCTATTTATTTCTTCTTGTTTATTTTGGTCCAACTTCTGCTGAGAGAACGTTCCTTGTGAAAAGGTTTCAGATTTTAACTTTGACTAAATCACATCACTTTACTTCTGTCTTCTTCTACTTCTGTCTGTATGTCCTCTTTGCCCACATATCCTTGTGTTGCTTTGTTTATATGGAGCCTGGACTCTAATTGTTTAGTGGACTTTAGCCTTCCTGTCAATACTCTCAAACGCAAGGGTATACTTTCATGTAATGGACAAGCTGTTTGCTACATGAATGTACAGTAAGCTTAATAAAAATCTTGATACAACACAAGAGTATTCTTCTTGAGTCTTTGTAATATCTGTTCTGAGGTTAAGGAACAAGAACTTGCAGCACTCAAATGCAGTGGTGTACTCGGATCATTTACCTAAGCAATACCACAGTGTAATACTATAAGTACAAGTACTGCATTAACATTTGACTCATAATAAATAACAGAATATATATCAGGATATAAATAATATTAGATTATGATTATTGATGCATTATAATCACATTGATGTTGCAGCAGGTAACGATGGACATAACTTTATATAATGCATGATAGATTAATATATCATGTATTTTTTTATATTTCTTTATAAATATTAAACTGCAAAGTAGGAAATAAGTTTTTAATATAAGTGTAGTAAAGAGTACAATATTTCCCTCTGAATTGTAGTGGAGGTGAAAAATATAGGAGCCTACTAGGTAGGAGCAATAGGTTCTTACTGACTTTCCACCACTGCAAAAATGCCAAGAAAGATAATTCAATTCATAGGATTTAAATGTGGTAATTGAAAACAGGGCTGCTGTGGCATAGTTTGTCCACCAGATAGCGCTAACAAGTTTATCTTTCTACTAAATGATGAATGAACCAAACTAATGTACTTGTGCTTAGTAAAGTTACTATTCACTTAGGAACAGGGACATGCTCTGACTTGATACTGCAATACATTACATTGACAACTAATACCTAAACCTACCTCTCACTGTATATTGTAGTGTTTATTCAGCTCTATCAAAGAAAAAGAGTCAAATAAAGAATCACATCTTTTTTTAATTGTGACCACAAAAATAAATTAACTTATATCTTACTTACTGTGAAAGCCGTGGGGTTAGGTGTAGGAGTCTCTGCATGGTCCTTCATCATCTTGCACAGAAAGAACATCTATCGTTTAAAAGTCTGCAGCCCAAAGTGACGAGAACCAGATTGAACTTTGCCGGGGTTTACCAAGCTCTCTCTCAAGCTGACAAACAGCTTGATCTGAGAAAAAGACTTGCTGCCCAGATCCAGTAGACATATCATAAGAAAAGCTTTGCAGAAGTTTGAAGACAAGATGATGCGCAGTAATGTCTTCATACTTATACAATAAATATATATCTGATATGCACTCATTTCAGCAAAGATCCCTGCAGACAATATGAGGGGACAGTGTGATACAAGCTGGACATATTTCAGACTCCAGCCGCAGAAGAAAAGCAGATTCAAGGCCTTTCAAACTATAAGACATGGCTTTGAAGCGTTCAGCTGAATGTGACAGAGGTTCATGTTTAGCAAAGAAACGTGAGTTTGATGCAAAATAAATGCTTTGATCATGTTGAAGAAAAAGGAAATGAAAGAACACAAGGAATACATGTATTTTCTTGAGATGGAGGTGACTTGAGTTCACTCGGAGAGCAAACACTTTCAAATTCTACATTTTGCATGCCCACTGCCAGCAATTCTCTTTTTCACCATCTCTGCTAGTTTCAATATAAATTGTTGATCCTGCCGCACCGAATCACAACTTAGCAGCTAAGGGTCAGAAGATGTCAAGTAAACTGCCTCACTCACCATGTGCTTCCTTCCTACTTCGTCCCAAATGATCTTTGACCCTGGAAGTACATCCAAGTCTTCCAGCCCAGATGTGTGGGTGATACCGTTTTGTTTTTTGTGTTTTACCGTGGCCTTGTCTTGAATAGAAAAAAAATCAAATTGTGATCTGTTTCTTTTTTTTTTATCATATAACAAAACTTTAATTATGGTCATTTTCTATATAAATAGTTAGATATATTAAACAGAGTCTAAAGGCATCACTTCACTGCAATTAACTAAATAGCTATGAGAACAAATGTGCAGCATATATGCTGGAGTATTTGAAGAGTAAGAATGACTTTTAAAACATTCATGTTTCTACATCGCTGTAAATACAGGTGATGTAGTCTAGTGTCTGACTTTACACACAGTCAATTCATTCATTTAGCTCAAAGCATTGCTGTATTTAAGTGCATACTTACAGAGTAGCATGACTTCTTAGTTCTGCTTCATGATCTCACTCCCTCTCCTTTTCACTAGTGCCTAAAATCTGATCTGCATGGCTGTTGTGGTGAAGTGAATAACAATAGGTTGTTTTGCTGCTAACCACAGTTTGAGTGAAATAAAATATCGACAGACATGTTGCATTTGAAAAGCAATAACAAAACACTGTTAAAGGGTCATGAGGGATGATCCGAAATGGGCTACACTTAAAATCTTTAATAGGTTCTCTAATATACCAAAATATCAAAAGTCTCTTCGGACAGAAACTTGTAGGAATATTTTAATGTTACATCAGTCTACATAAAGCCATGTTTTATGTAGACGGATGTAGACACGCTACCAATCACAGTTGTGGAGACATTGGTATAGTTGTCTCTTTGTAGGACACTGATTTAAATTATTCTTAGACTATGCATTTTTTTTATGCTGTGTATGTAATTTATTATATGCAATGCCTTGTCTTTTATCTGGACCCTGAGTCTGTAATAAAGTTTTCATTCATCCACCTTGCCAATTAATGCTATTACAGAATGAGCTCTTAATATAATGAATAGATGGATCTAAATATAAAACGCTGGTAATTATTTACACAGTGTGCACACATGACCTCCTTTTACAATGGCAGTGCTGAAGCTGCACCAGCAAACAGGTTGGACTGCCTGCCTTTTATTCAGAGGAATCTAAACCGTGAAAACAGTTCCTGGTTGGCATCCTGTTTGGGAATGTGACGCAGTCATGTGGCACCAAGTTTCCTACTCCCAAGTCCTTATCAGCACTTAGACAAGCTTAGCATAACATTTCCCATACGTCTACTGCAACCCCACGTGTTTATCTATTTGACAATGAAAGAAACGAGACAAACAATATGATGAAGCATGATTTAGTAGGAATACAATGTTTTGATGTGTTTCAAACAAGAAACAAACAGAAATAAATATACATAGAAAACAAAAGCATGATTTTGTAACAGTTGATCTGTCAAACTGCAACAGGTTTGAATTCAATGTTATCTTAAGACATCCAAATCCACTGTCTGCAAAACACAGTGAATTGTGTTCAGCCATTATCATTTAATCTCTGGGAGTGGTGAGCAGTCAGCCATCATGGTGCTAACCTGCGGTTTATTTGCATAAGGTGTGTGTGTGTGTGTGTTGCAGCTGTTAAACTCTTTCTTTATGAGAGAACTCTTTCTTTATGAAAGAGATAATTAAAGAGGTGATGCTTAAGAATGAGTTCAACATTTATGGAGTTGCCTTTATTTGCCAGAAGTCAGATTAAAGATTATAACAACTGTACAAATAAAGTTACCCCTGCTGTCGGTTAGCTTAGCATTAAGAATGGAAGAAAGGGGAAACAGCCTGTGGTTGTAATCGTTTCCTCTCAGGAAAGTAATTGTCTGGCATGTAACCCTCCATCAAACCAAACACACTTCTTTCTGGTGGATTTGGTTCCCCTTGCTTCCAGTCTTTATGCTACGCTAAGCTAAACTAAGCAGCCGTTAGCTTTAGCTTCATATTTATGTTACAGACATGATGGTGCCATCAAATGCAAGAAAGCGGACATGTTAAATGTCACCCTTAATGTCTAACAACTTCTCCAAAGAAACACAACATTCGAAGAAACAAAAACTGCATCATTTCAATGAAAGTAAGGAAGCAGGTAATAATATCATCTGTGAGAAATCTTTACAAAGATGTGTAGCTAACAAGGCACTTTCTCTACATACTACCGTTATAATATAATGGTCACAACTAACAGTCCAACTCAATACAAATGTCCTTGTAAGTTTGATTTTCAAAGTTAGAAGAACAACAATTATTCAGCAGTGTTCATTTACTGTAGGAGTGGTTATAGAAAGGCTCCAGGATTCGATCGAGGATCTTTGATATTTCTGAATCTGTGAGCGAGCCAAACTCCAAGGATCTAAAAGAAAAAAGAGATAAGTGTTAGTGTCACATTTTTTGTTGCATTTCTGATAAAACCAGCACAATTAATCTAAACGTCTACATCAGCACTCGAACTACACCGAATTATTTGTTGCTATGACATTTACTGACCTCTGTAAAGCTGAAGAAGAGTCCGATACCGCCCACAAAGCGTAGCACCTCTCCGGCATACTGCAGTATGGTGGTGGAGCACGTTACACACGTCTCAGGGTGGATGTCAAAGCAACTCTAGTAGAAGTAACAGAGAACATTCATTAACATCAAGATCATACAAGTCAAGATCATATTGTTCCCAAGAGGAAAAATATAAATATATTCCAGTTGGGTTTACTTACAGCAGCACATGAGCCATTGATGGGAACAAAGGAGAAGCCGCAACAGTCGAGGGTTTTCTCTACGTCCCTTTGAGTGGCCTCGGATTTGTTCCATCCAACTTCCAGCAGAAGTTTCTGTAAAGGAAAAGCACACAGTCTGGTTGTCTTTTCATTTATTTCATTAGAAAGCATAAGAAAAGAACAAGGGATTAACATGAATCACTCTGAATTTATAATTGTATAAATACATTTCACTCAACACATGTGCGAGTATTAATGTTTCTGAGACTCTAATAGGCCAAAATAACTTCATCATAGAACCGATGTAGACAAAATGAACATACCTGTTGGTCTTTATTCAGGGCCAGACAGGCACAGGACACAGAAAACTGCCCGACAAACACTATGAACAGGACCATCATGTACTGAAGGAAGTTAAGGACGTTTTTATAAGATTTAAAAAAAACATTCTGAAATCTCACAAGAACTAATGAAACACAAGCTTAACAGAGCGATACAAGAGTGTTTGGGTTATTTACTTTTCATCCTCCTTTGGCACACAACCATTTGATGTGTGATGCGACTCCTTGTACTCAGTAAAACAAACCAAAGGATACGAAGAAGAGCAGGACCTGGTGGTGCTTCAGGGCGCCGCACAGCCCCACAAAGGCGACCAGGAACAGGAAGACCCCGACGCCGATGACCCCCGCCACCACTCTGATGCTGGAAACCAGGTCAAACCATTTCCCCCAACCTGCCACTCCAACCAGCAGCAGACTCACCAACTGAGGAGGAAGGAAACAATGTTGAGAGAAGAAGGAACATGTAGGATTACTGAAGGGGCCTAAAGAGCACAAGACCAGGGACACAACATGTCAGGAAACAACATGGCCTTCATCTACAAAATAATACCAAAAGAGACACATACCAAGCTAAAAAGAGAATACAAATGACCACAAGGAAACATTAAATGACAACATAGATACAAAAGAGATGGATAGACACACGACCACAGACAGAAAGAACTACAGAAAGACCAAGATAATTACAAAGACACACAAAATTACCACAGAGGCTTATTGTCTTATATTGAGCCTATGAAAGGGACGTTTGATTGTATGTCATGTGGAGGCTCGATTATGTATACCAGCTGGTTGAAGGCGTGTTAGTTGAGGTAAAGATCAACATACTTCTCAAACTAGCCACATAGTTGCTTGCTGATACAATTAAGCATTTTATTTTCATTGAAACTCTTTCTCCAAGACAGTCTCCAGAGTGTATAGATATAGAACTGCCTTTAAAAGTCCCCCCAACATTTCCAGTTTTAGTTTTCTAATAAAATATGTGTACTCTCCGGCAACACAAAGGCTTCCTTTGCTTTAACGTGGAGGCCTTATGCCGCGCGGGAGAAGAGGCAGGTTTCACCATGATACTTTGACTTCTTTTGGATTTGTTTTGTATACAAAATATATTTTAATCCCTATTTGTATAGATTGTTGTACTAATGTTGATGTCGTAACAAAAAAACCCGTCCTTTACGGTGACTGTGCTCTTTGTTTCAAAGATGCACATTTTAAATGATCTGTAATGTCAGACCTGCTTGAGACTGAACATGTGGGGTTAGTGCAAGAACAAGACATTTACATAGCCTTTTAGTTCTATAGGGTTAGTACTATTATGGATATCCCAATAACCAAATCCATCATAACGTGTTATGGTAAATGGAAGTATATTTATACTTTAAAAAAAGAATGTAGTGAATGTCGTGTTATTTGTGGATGAAATAAAACTACATTCAATTAATACAATTAGTTAAAAAGGTCAAATAAAAACAAAATAAAGAGATATGTCGTGTTGTTTTAATCAGAGACTCAGAGATGCCTGAAAGTTTGAATAAGCCTACATTTATTTATGATTAAGCATTTATTATCCTTTCTTTGTGAAGCCAGCAGTACTAGCTACACCAGCCATGAACTCTGTGCCGAATCATTTACCACAAACACCTGCCTGCTGCCAAATCAAGGAAACGACTCTTAATAAACGCTTACATCTTTTAAAATAATGAACAAACGGGTAACTAGCCCAAATCATGATGAAAGCAGAAACATGTGTTGACATTTAAAGCCTTATTCCAGTTAAATCCCCATCGGTTCAACAGCAGTAAGCATACTCACGATGTAAAGTATATTGAGGACGCAGAGAGCGTTCTTGGTGCAAACGTATCCTCCGCAAACCATCTCTGCTCGCCAGTAGGTACAGTCCTTAAAAATAAAAATAAATTGATATATTCCTACTTTTCCCAGGGCTTTAAGGAAAAGCTTTCAGTCTCGAGGCTCTCCGGCTCCTTGTGGCTTTTAGGCCGCAGGTGGAAACCAGGGAGTATTTCCTGAAAACAAATCCAGCTCGCTGATTGGTCAGTCACCTTCATTACACCTGAGTCATATCCTCATGCAGATTATTATTTTCCTATGGACATATTATTAAACTCAGATCAGTAGGTCACTTTATGTTAAGGGTAACTAAGATATCTTTATCTAGTCTTTTCCACTTCACATTTAAAAAATATGTTGATATGTTTTATTGGATATGGACAATATGTTTTTGCTTTAAAAAAACACCTCCCTTACTTTTAAGCATAGGCCTATGCGTTTGAGATAACAACATTCTTGACAAATAGAGATGTTTATGTTATTGTGTCTACCCTCCTTGATTCAAAATGGGATGGCCAACATCATAGAAACACACCTAGAGTATAAGGGAATAATATTCAAAAACAAAACCTCCCAAATGATTATAAAGTTTAATCAACACCTCCCTTATTGAAAACGTTAAAAAGGTAGGATTTATGTAAGGACTGATGCTGCATTGGACTGTATGAGTTTCAGCTGCGTGTTCCCAATAAACTGGCAACTGAGTGTACTATATGTTGTGTACAAATAGTTTTTGATCGCCATCTGCTGGACAAACAGTTTTACAATTTATTAAGTAAAACATGTCTATTGATGAATGAATGTATCTGTCATGTATTTTACTCAATTATCCTCACTGATCTTTAATTTACATTTAACACAGATTGATTGATTAAAGGTAGAGCTGGCCATGGTCATTTCATTGAAATACCAATTTGAGTGTTCATAAAACATTTCTGTTTCATTTGCAAAATAAATGAAGATTGAACAACATTTTAAATTAAATACCAGATTAACCTGGATTTAAATAAACAAAATATCAAATAATATTTGAGTCAACGGAAATCATGAGTCAGCAAGGGCAGACGATCAAGTGATTTGAAAGAGGAAAACCCCATGTTTGTACATGTTCTTTTTATTTTTACTCAATTCAAGTTCAGAGTTCAAGATTTCAAAAAGAAGTTCGAGCATCGTACCAAATGTCAAACAAAATCATAAAAGACAGGTTATGGATACAGACATTCAATACAGAAATTATGTCTTTTTCCTCATTTAAAACTAAAATATCCAGCTAAATGTTTCAACATGCTGAACAACATAAGTACATAACAGCCATCTGGTGAACTCAAGACAAGAAGTCACTGACACATGTTAACTATCTTGTTATTTTGTTAATACGTGTAATAATAAGACCTGTGATGGTTTCTTATTGTATGATGAAATGTGTTCCTGTAAAAAAGCAAAAGAACACGACTTAGTCAGTCTTACCACATTCTGCAAAAAGAAGAAGTGCATGATGTGTAATCCCTCACAGTGGGTTTCCTTTTGTCCTTAACCAAGCCAAAGTGCACTCACGATATCCTGCATTTAAACTGCTGCCATGGTGTTAGTGTTGGTCTCTGAGGTGAGGTGCGTTCTGTCTGGGATTAACCTGACAGGATAATGGAAGAAGAGCTGAATTACGTGACGGTGACTTTCAAGACTAAGGGTAATTCTGCTCATGGTGAGTCATGCATTTTGTTTTGACGCTGTACATATTCTGTCAGCCTAACTGCACCAAGGGCAGCGTTGGAAATAAAACTGTAATACTCACTGTAAGCACATCATTTGAGGGTACTGCACACAGTTTTCACTGTAGTATACTTGAATGTAGAGCAGAAGCTAAAGGTATCATGAACAAAACAAATGTAATTGGATTTATTTAATAGATGCATTTGTAAACTTTTACATGCAAACATAATATGATCCACTGTACTACACTGTACAACTTCATTTAAAACAACTTATATATAAACAGGACTTAATACATGTTTTTACACTCAGTATACACAGCTCCAGTATTGTATAGATGTATGATCTAAACTGAACTAAAGTAGTAGTAAAATGAAATTAATCTCTGTGTGATCTCAAAGTTCTAATTTCCTTCAAACTCTTTTGCATTTTGCAGAGAAATCATACGACATGGAAGCAATCTACGATGAGGTGAAGACATTGGAGAAGAATGTGTTGCATGCAGATCCTGCCACACCAGGTCCGTTATGGATCTAAAGAAATAAAAAATGACAATCATTTGTTATACATTTTTTTTATGAATTGATCGTTTTTTCTGTTCTTTGTAGAAAAGGAAAAGAAAGCTCAAAGATACACTCCGCTTCATCTGGTGGCAGCAGCTTTGGGGATACTTTGTTTCATCCTGGTGTCGGCCTTCATCACCGTCAGAATCCACTGTAAGTCTGTCTACCTGATTACATGGTTTAGTTTAGTTAAAACAACAAGTGAGTGCAAAGGTAACAGTTTCCTCTCTTAATGCAGTCAACACAGTCATGTCAGAGCAGCACAGAGAAGGAAACAACTTGATGGCAGAGAATCTGCAGCTGCGGACAGAAATGACGGATTTAAAGAGACAGAGAGAAAAGCTGACCAGAGAGAGAGACCAACTCAACTGGACCCTCGGAGTCATCATGGAATATCAAGACCTCCCTGTGAAAACACTCTGCCCACAGAAAGGTAAACACATGGTGTCATTGGTGAAAGAGCTTAACTCAAGTTAAGAACATGTTTTAGATTTGTGCTTTACTTGAGTCACTTTTGCTCCAGTGCATCTCAAAGGGAAAACTTTTTACTCCATTGTTATTGTCTGACAGTTGAACTTCAGACAGTTTTTAATTTTTAGATTACAACTTTACAGAGAAAGCTATTTTAAGGAGACCCAATTATCCTTTTTGTTTATTTTTCCCCTTCCTGTATTGTGTTATGCACGGTTTTGTTCATGTAAAGGGTCTGCAAAGTTACGTCCAGGGGGAGTTTCCCTCGCAAACACTCCCCACCCTCCTGAAACGCCTCCATAAGACTCATTTATTTACTTCCGTAACATAATGACATCACTGTGTAACCCTCATGCTTTTATTGGCTAGCGCTCCAACACATTGTACATGATAGGCTAAGGGGCGGGACATCTCTAAGCAGCTACCCAATCAGAGCAGACTGGGCTCTGGTATCAGACAGAGGGTGAACAGAGGTGCTGCAGCACAGGCAGTATGAGAGAAATAAAGACCTTTTTGAACACGAAAGCATGGAGACATGTCTCAATAGTGGCACAAAATACAATTATGATCCTGAAATGAGCATCTCCTCTAAATGTCACTGAAGGATGTAATGCTCCTTTATGCCTTGAGAAAAGTCTCCTTCTAAAATCCCGTTGACTAATGTGTAAAATGCATTGTCACAAAGCTTAAAACAGGGATACAAAATATATTCCAGTCGGTTTTTAATTTAAAGTTAACTTTTTAGACAAACACTAAGTACTAATTCAAAAACATTATATATAATCATAACATACTCACAGGAAACATACATATTACAGAGACTGCACAATGTCTACTTTTATTTTTCCTTCATGGCTTGAGGAAAGTCTCATTCTAAAACCCTCTTGGCTAATGAGTAAAACACATCGTCAAAGCTCAACACAGGGATAAAGAGTTGTTTTCCAGCTGGTTTTTAGTTAAAAGTTAACTTTTTAGACACACACAGTTCTAAGAGGATATCAATGCTACAAGCCTGAGGATTTTTGAAACAATATACTTACCACCAATATATAAAGTTATTCAAATTAGCACAACTTTATTAATCTACATGAGTCAAATGCAACACACACAAGAATGCAGTAATACTAATTCAAAACATCATATATAATCGTAAAACACTCACAGGAAACATATGACATATTACACATACTGCACAATGTCTACTTTAATTTGTGTTGCTTTAAGGTTGTTGTGGACTATTTAAGTGTGCAGTATTTGTACTTTTATTTAAGTTATTTTAAGTTTTTCAGGGGTCTGTTTGGATGTTTGTCATCGCTCGTCTACCGAGCCACTTACTTCTGAGCTCTTAACTTGTTAATATAACCACTACCTTTTATTTCATTTTGATTAGTTTTTCTTGTGAACATTGTTAAAAAACATAATTCATCTTTCAGAATTTGTACATTTTGGCACAAAATGGGGCGAAGCCTGCGAGCTAGTTCAGGCAGTCAACTTGAGCACCAATGATACATGAACACGTGACGCACCTCGTCCCTCTTACAACCAACCAAACACATTCTCCTAAACATGCCGCTCTATTTAAGCTGCCATGTCTTCCTGCCTCTGCCTCGCTAATGCTGCTGCTGCCACTGCTGTGATCACTTGCTATTGCTACGTTCATGTTCCTGCTGTGTTTCATGTTGCTGCTACTGTTTCATGTTGCTGCTACACTCTAAAAACAAATGCCTTGGCTCAACAAAGAAAATCAACGCAACAGTTTGCATCGATGTTTATTGAGTTAAGACAACTTCTAATGAGATTGTCTTAAAGCAACAAAGTTATTTGAGTTAGGGGAGAAGGCTTTTCCTCTACAATCAGAGGTGTTTTTAATTACCACTTACTTAATAATTGGTATTATAAACACAAGTTTTGAAGTTGATTACTCAAAAGATTAAATTGTTCCGACTAGTTTTACCGTATGATTTAAAAGGAATTTTAAGTTGTATGTACTTAATTACCATCATTGTGAACACACGTTTTTAAGTTGTCAACCATTTATAAATTAAGTTGCTCCAAATATATTGTATTCAATAGTTTTTTTTCTTATCTTTTTCATGTTTTTGCCTTTAAAGAAAGAAATTAATTAATTCCACAACAAAAATGTTAGGCAATTCACTTTTTATTTTGAACTGCAGTTGTTTATTTCAACACATGATGTTTCAATCAGGAGAGAATTCATTTTGTTCGAACATTTATTGACACATGCCATATGATAGGTGCATGAACACCTGAAATCACAGCTGACTGCAGGAGAGAGGAGAACCATTTTATAGTTTGTGTTAGAGTGGGCGAGGTCCTGATAATTTATTCCGGGAAATTACTCTGACCTACTAATTGACCTGACCGAAGTTATTGATTCTATGTAAGTTTACTGCTTGGCTCAGATCCACCAACGTCAGCAAGATCTCACCTCTATTAACTCCTGGAGAACCAGGTTCAATTAACTGCTGTTTCAATTCAGACAACTCTCTTAATCTGTTTAAGCGATCCCGAAGGATTTTGATATCAGTAATGAGGTGTGACCCTACCTAAGTGTGAGTGTGGCAGGGTGCAGTCTTACCTTTGAAGCAGGAGAGGAGAGAGCGCTGATGTCTTTTAAGTTGTCCCAATCCAAAAGGTGGGATCAGTTTATTTGAAGAAAAATAGGTCCAAACTTCTACAGGGTTTTTACCTTCTCTCTTTACAACATTATAATCATACTAAACAAAATTATGCTGTGATCATGTTCAAATATGAAACTTTAATTCACAGTCTTACATTTATTACCAAAATTGTAATTTCAACTGCCCAATTCAGTTGTGATTTCTAAATCTCCCGATAGAATTTAGAGGCATTTCCTCATAAATGACCGGTGATAATAAAAAGCACATTCAAACTTTCATTTTCACCCAATCAATTCACATCAATTTCATACCTTTTTTCCGACACAGACGGCGGGAATAACATTCAAAAACCCATTCCTATCCGCATTAATTCGGAGGAAGATCCTCACAGGTGGCGGGTACTAATATTCACAAACACATCTCCCATCAAATCATTCCACTCAGCAAACAAAGAAATTCACTCAGCATTCAACCAAGAAATTTGAGAGATATTTACCAAGTCTGAGAGAACCTTACAGAGAGCTATTAACCCAGCTCTGAGGGCCAGAGCCTACCGGGAGAGAGTATACGAGGGGAACCCCCCCCCCCCCTCTCTCTCCCTCCCAAAAAGCCAGTCTCTTTATGCTCAAAAAACCGGATAGAAAACCCCAAAAACACCTCCTCCACCCAACCAATGAAAAAACCTGGGCATGGCCACTGATGTACAGGACTGGACATATTCTATTGGCTATGGCATAAGACACACCTTCCCATGTTTGTGTAAAAAGGGACATGACCAGACATATTCTATGGCTATGACATAACCACCTTTTTGAGGCCTCAATGTATTTCTCCTTAGGTCCGGAGCCCCCCTCCCTGTGAACTGCTGTGAGAGGAGAGGGAAGAAACTGCCTACTCTCTTATCACTGACACCCATACATCATTATAGGTCTTACACTCAACTTAACAAACCACTTGGCTTTGTTTATACTGTAAATATAGAAAATCCTAAAATATGAAGCATTTTCATTGTGGGTTATACAAGAATATAATTGATTATATTTGATTATAACTAACTTTCGTTTTAAGTATTCAACATACTATGAAGATCTCAACACCCTCTTTTTAAAACGCAAAGTTATCAAACAGCAACAGATAAAATTGTAAGCATACATACATATTCAAAAACCATCTAGAAGCATTGTCATTATGGGTTCATACAAGAATATGATTGATCATATATGATTTATAATTAACTTTTGTTTTAAGTATTCACTTGATACTATGAAGATCTCAACATTTGGCTGCAGCACGTTGATTGGCTGCTGGAGAATGAGGTGAAATGTAATAGGTTAAAGATAACGCCTGTGATGAGCTGATTATATGCAGCTGTGGAGTGAATGTATACACACCCAGCCTTCCTGAAAGAACTTGCGCTGAGCTTCATTTAAATCTTGAAAAAAAAGATAAATAACACAAATTTAAATTGCCCCACAAATAATAAATAAACACATTAGCCATATTACCATGGGACATGGGGACACAGCAAATACATGCTGCCATCACATCGAAGTTAGAGGCCTTGGCATTTTTAAAACCAGTGCCAAATATGTCAAATCAGTAAAGTTTTTGTAAAACTACAGAAACAGAAACTCTCAATGGCCACCAATCTGCAGATCACACATCAATTTTACAAAATATGTAACAAAGATGTTTACACTGCCGACAGTCATTATTTCAAACAGTATGAACACATTTAACGCAGAATGCTTGCTCATTCATTTGTTTCCCTCCACCACGATGGTTGCCATCGTGTGGTCAGATCCTGGGGTGGACCGGTCACTGATGAAGGCGATATTCATGTCCTATTGAAGCACTTATTAAGCATTATTGATTGGGGTGTGGCCAAAAGTGCAATATGCTTCAAAATGTAGCTGACAGAGAGCAGTGCTTTTGTCCTGTGTAAAATCCACTGTGCCCGTGGATTTAATTTTATTTCAAGATTTTTAATTACGTCGCTAAAGTCCTTGAAAAGGTCCTCTTCCTTTTCTCCAAGGTACACGACAAGGCAGCGGATGGCTATAGTTCTCTGCGTACTTCAATTGTATTGTGCTATTTTTGAAAAAGGAAAAAAAGAGAAATGACCTAAATGAATATATTCTGAATGGGTGACTGCCAACAACTTGCATTTCAATGACAACTCTAAATAACGATCCTACCTCAAGAAGCATGTCCTTGATCTGCTTCACCGAGATTCATTTTTAATAAAAAGAGATATCACAATAGTAACCAAAGTATTTTTACTCTCACAGTAGCCTCTACTACTTTGTATCCTCTCACAGAACTATTCACAGTTCAAAGGCTGCTAATTTTGGTCAAACAGCAATTTGCCTACAGTGCAACTACAAGGCTATCTATTTGAATGACAAAAGATGACACTCACCTTAAAATGTCCTTTGTATATTTCTATTTGTCTTAACTGTGGGAACTTGTCCAGGCATGTTAAGTGGGAGTGGACTTGAAATCCTTAACTCAAGGTGTAGACCAATTAAGTTATCAAGCCAATTGCATTACTTACTACAACTTTAATTTAGTTTTAAGTCAATTAACGCAGAAATCAGAGTTCAAATTACACACAATATTAAGTTGATGTAATTACCAACATTATTACGTCAACACAACTTATAAATTAATGTTTGCAACTTCAAATGTTTATCTAAATCAATTAACTCACATTTTTATCTTGCAACCATGCATTTAATTAAGTGGAGGTGAAAGGTCGCCTGAATTCGTTTTTAGAGTGTACTTGCCTGCCCCACCACCACCCCAGCTTCCACCTGTATGCTCGGGGGATAGTTATCTAACCATCACTCAATGTTCTTTGTACATCTGTGGAGTGATGAGGCCCGAGCCTAGACGCCAAACTCAAACTATATGCTGCTTATAATAAACATATTAAGAAACACGTGAGTTGTCTGACTGAAATGCTTTTATTTTGAGTGAAATAAGCTGTTTTAAGAAAGGGAAGGATGATACTTATGTTATATGTAGTAGAAAATGACTATGATTGTGTTGTCTCTTGTCCAACAGTGTGTAAACCTTGCCTGGACGGCTGGGTGCCGTTTCAGTCAAACTGTTACCTGTTTAAAGCAAATAAATACTTCTACGATTGGAAGACTTGGCAGGATAGCCGCTCTGATTGCCAACTCATGCGTGCAGATCTGGTGGTGATTGAGAGCCTCGAGGAACAGGCAAGAACGATTTGATTTAATTTGTTATGTCATGCTCAAATAAAGCCAAAGAGCATCTCCATCTCTGTTTCATAGCCAGAAAATATACTGTGTGACAACTGCCAAAAAGATGATTGTTTAAGAATATATTATGCAGTAAACCATATAGTGTAAATATTGTGTTAATTTCTCTTAAATCCCACTCACAGTTGAATTCTGCATTTTAAACATTTTAAAATAAATCTCATTTATGTATTAATCCTTTCTGCTATGTTTTTTAATGTTCGTTTCTGTCTTTTAATGCGTATTTCTTTGTGATGTACATTTTATTGCATCTTTTTGTATGAAATGTGTTATCTAAATTATAGTTATATTTTATATGACACTTTTCTATATTGACAACTGTATCAAAACATCTAGGAATTCATCAATAACCACACAGTGGACTATCATAAGGATGATAATCATGGATATTGGATCGGCTTGAGGAAGACGGGCATGTGGACGTGGGACTGGGTAGATGGACGCAACCTCACTGTGATGTAAGCACACACAAACACTCACGATCACTCAAAAGCTGCCACATGCAGAACATCATCACCACAGTGATTTAGACACATGTCTTTATCACACACCAGGCCAGGTTGGCAGCCGTTTCCCTCTGTGTGCTGCATTTTGAACTTTGTGTGACTGGGTTTTAGTGAAATATGACACACAGGGAAGATTATGCAACAATCGCCCGGTTTTTTAAAATGGCAGAAGGTGAAATGAGTAAAAAGCAGATGGAGAAACACCTTTCAACATGTCGGCCTCCTTCAGTAACACCAAAGACCAAACCTTGCCAGAGAAAGCAAGAGGGATGAAGAAACAAACGCAACACAGTATAAAAGTAAAGGTGTGACACCAGAGGCAAATGTCCTAAGACAAAAAGACCACTTCCAAAATGCACATTTATTTTACTATACTTTGCCAATTTGTATCTGTGTATTTCCAATATTCACTATTTGTTGCCATTAGATAATGTCAAATTTAAATATTTAAGTATAACTTTTCAGAAAACTTTTCAAAATGTTCTCACAATAATGGATGTTTTGTCATAATGTCGTTCACAACCTGATTTCTATAACACCGTATACCTAAAAAACATATAGCTTAAAATGATTTTGTTCATGTTTTTTTTTGAATTTTTGAACGATACAAAGAGATATCCTAAATTCCCTCTATAAGAACGTTGTTTCTAGTATGTCAACAAATTCAAACAAGAATTTTGAAACCAATGTTTATATATCTAGACCATAGTTCCAGTTACCGATGACCCACTCCCCCAAATCAAGTGGCTCAATGGGAATTGGGGGTGAGGCCTAGGTCAGTTACCTATATAGTAAGATAGTGCCTAATCTTGATGTTCACATTTCAGTAAACCTGACGGCCAAGAAAGCGAACAAATGTATTTGCAAAAACATTTGTCACTGATTGATTCCATGATCTGTTTTCCTTCACCAGGTTCTGGAAACCACAAGATGGCTGCAGAGGGAATTGTGTTTTGAGTCAGCAGAGAGCAGATCCTCTGGCCAACTGGTGCGGAAAGAGCTGCTCAATGAAGAACCGCTGGATCTGTGAAACAAGAGCTTTGATCAAACAAGATTAGGCTTTGGCTATATCATCCAAATGGGTTATTTAACATGTAATACTTCTTCTTTATGTCTTCCTCTCAAAGCTGTCTCATAGTGTTTCTCCTGTTTGAGTTTTTGTACTTTTTGTAATTCATTGCCAGTTCTACAAATGCTGCAGAGTACTCCATTACCTTTGAGATATGGTATGCTTCAAAACATGTGTGTATTAAAGAAAGTCAATAAAAACTATCCATCCAATGTCTATGTGTTTTACTTTGTACTGTGTATGTGTTATAACATGCTCATTTTCCTATACATCTATACTTGTTGGCTACACGTGTACAAGCTAATGCAATGTTACATCATGTTCAAGGTACACGGTCATATGGGTTATAATTCAACTATATGTAGCATTGAGCTGATATTGAGTTGTGTTGTTGTACTGGATTTTAAAAAAGTATGACAAAAATTAGAAACAATATAATTCAATCTAGTACAACTTTAATTAATAATTTTATAAACACATGTCTCCTTGTTTGCTCCTGTTTGAGTAACGTTTACCAAACACTACAGTGCACCTCTCTTTTAGGAAACTTCTGAGCCCTGTTGGAAGAAGTACTCAATACTATGGTCCTAAAATACTCCATTATAAGTGAAGGTCGTGATTTCACGTTGTTCTTAAGTAAAAGTACAAAAGTAATAGCAACAAAATATACTTAAAGTACAGAAAGTAAAGTAACTCATTCTGCACAATGACCCGTTTCAGAATAATATAGTACAGAAGTATTATCTGCTAAATGTACTTCAAGTATCAAATGTAAAAGTATTTGTTGCAGAATGAATCTTCTCACAGTATTTTATTTGTAGGGTTATTATGTTATCCTGTTTTTATACATTTAAGAGTATTTTACTGTTGTAGTTTGTCAGTACTGCATCATAAATATATCATGTGTTTTATGCGTTCAAAGTAACTGGGAGTGATACAATAAATGTAGCGGTGTAAAACGTATGTTATTCATCTTTCAAATGAAGTGGAGTATACGTATAAAGTAGCATGTGATGGAAATACCTAATTAAAGTACAAATATGTCCAAAAAGTACTTATGTACAATACTTGTGTATAACATACTGACTTTTGTGATGTCAACCACTGATTCTGAGCAATCATATGTATGTAGTCCGTAGAAACAAATGGTGTTTGGGCAGAGTGTTCGACAGACGGGAGGAAAGGCCGACAAATTGTTGACAACATCAAAAAAGCAGTATATTCAGTGCTGGAATTGGGCCGGTACTCACCGGTACGCAGTACCGGCACTTCTGGTTCTGACCCATGGAGTACCGGCACTTCTTGCTCAGTACCGGCATGCTGGCGGTACTCCGGTACTCATGCACCGTGCCAGTACTCAACACTCTCCCGCCGTTCTTATTATACATCCATATATATATATACAGCCGCCCGGTACTCAGTAGATGCGTCATGAGGTGCCGAACGGACATTCTCATCGCTCTAACCGCTGGAGTTTCACAGCGGCTGTCAGCTGTTTACTCCTGTCATTCAAACAGAACGTGCTGGAGAGGGGGCGGGGCTTATCTTCTCCATGTAAATACTGTGGTGGAAACGACTATGTCAAAATTAACCTATTTGACCGTGATTTAATAGTAATACACGTTTCAAAATAATAATAATAATAATAATAATAATAATGCCGAAGTAACAACATACTGAAAACTGTTAGTAAAACCATGTTTTAATGCTTTACAATTTACATACCTAGATGCACGTGTGTTGTGTTTATGCAGTGCAACTCCCACCCAGTGGGTGGCTATGTAGAGTGATAGAACAGAGCAGGCACGCCCCCGAGAGAAGGAAAGCAAGTCACGTCACAAATTAGCATTTCTAAAATGTTAGCGTGGATTAATAAAAGTACAAAAAGACAGCGGTTGTCGCCGGAAGAAACTTCAAATACAGAGAATGCTGTGCCTGTGTTGGAAATTGTGTCTGATGGGGAGCTTTCTTTGGTTGATCCTCCTGCTCCAAGTTCTAGTGCATTAGCATTAGCACTAGCTCCGCCGCCTCCTCCAGAGCCTCTAAAGTTAGCTGCTGCTGGCGCAACTGCCACCACCAATACCGGGCAAAGCGATGCACCTGACTGCTGGACAACGGACCAGGTGCAATATTTTTGCAAGACCAATGCATGGCTCCTTCTTAAAGATAAGAAGCTAGGATGTCGGATATGCAGAGATGTCAAATCTTTGGGAATACACACTGGACAAGGACTGAAACTGTCAACTGATTGGGGTGAGTGTGCAGTGTCTCATTTCGGTGTTGACAAGGGCAAACAACAAGCTAGCCTGAGAAAAAAAATCAAAGAACATAAAGAATCACAAGCCCATGTAAAAGCTGCTGACATCCTTACATCTGCTTCACGTGAAACTATTCAACATCAAGTGCAGTCTATGCATACATCTGAATTAGACACCACTATCAGAGTTTTTCGAACGGCATATACAATTGGCAAACATAGCCGGCCATTCACAGACATGCCAATTGATTTGAATGTACAGAAACTGAATGGGCTGAAAGTGGGCAGGGTTTTGCACTCCAATAAAACCTGTGGCGAAATCATCGACCACATAGCTCATGAGCTGAAGAAAAAAATGGCAAAAGACATTACAGAAAACCAAAGAAAACTCTGTGTTTTGGTCGATGAATCTACCACTATTAGTGGTAAAACGGTGCTTGTTGTGTGTCTACGCTCAGCATTAGCTGATGCTGAGCCCGAAACGTTTTTTTGGGAGCTGATCGAGTTGGATGGAACAACGGCTGATGACATCACAAAGGCGTTAATGGAGTGTCTTGGAAGAGATTTTAACGAGGACTTTTTAGGTCAGTGTTTCGTTTCTTTTGCATGTGATGGGGCTTCAGTCATGCTAGGGAAGAGAACAGGCGTTGCTACCCAGTTGTGTAGTAAATTCCCAAGCCTGTTTGTGTGGCACTGCTCCAATCATCGTCTAGAGCTGGCAGTTGGGGATGTGGTCAAGGAGGTCTCAGGGCTCAATCATTTCTAGATCTTTTTTGACAAACTCTATTCCTTGTTCCATGCCTCCCCCAAAAATCAGAGGCAGTTAGCGCAGTGTGCGCAAGCAGTCGGACAGCGTCTCCTGGTGATAGGGCGTGTTTTGTCCATCCGCTGGGTGGCTTCAAGTGAAAGGAGCGTCAGAGCAGTCTGGGAAAACTACCGAGTGCTTCATAATCACTTCACAAATGCTGCAAACGACACGAGCAGGGATTCCAGAGACAGAGCAAAGTACAAGGGCCTGGATGATGTGCTCACATCTGCAACGTTTGTCAGCAATCTGGGACTGATGTACGATGCGCTCACAGAGCTCAGCGACCTCTCTCGGCAACTCCGAAAAAGAGAGATGACACTGCCTACAGCAGATAGGCTCTTAACTCGAGAAATACGAGTTTTTGAATCCATGATCACCATGCCTGGCCCACACATGACTACAGTTCATACAGCTCTAGCTGAGAAGTCCTTCAAGGGTGTTGCCCTGCGTGAGAATGGCAGGCTTGTACAGATTCATGCAGGTTTTTCCGCAGTATGGTAGAGAATCTGAGACACAGAATGACTTCCACAACCTCCTCTCATGTCAGCACAAGAGAAATCCCATTACATGGCCGGGAGGCCCGGGACAATCAGCTAATCCAGGACATGAAAGTTATCCATCCTGGAAGTTGGCCTGAAGAGGAGTTAGACGTACAGTATGGGGACGTAGAGGTGCTACGTTTGTGCGAAGTGCTGAAAGTGGACAGAAGAGAGACTGTTCAGGGCTTTCGCGAATACAAGGAAACCAGGGCATCCCGTACACCTGCTGCCATGGCGCCTCTACTGAAAGCAGTCCGAACCATCGCTGTCTCCACTAGTGAGTGTGAGCGGGCATTCAGCTGCATGAACGATATCCTTACTGCAAAAAGGAATGCTCTCTCTGTCAGCCGACTGTCCAGCCTGGTTTTCATTAAATGTAATGGACCATCACTAGGACAGTTCAATCCGGAACAGTATGTGAGGTCCTGGCTGGCAAAGGGAAGGAGAAGTGCTGATGAAAGAGCCTGTCCAGCTCCAGCCCCTGATACTGATGTCCCCAAGGCCTTCTGGAGCCTTTTCTAACAATGTGAAGTATATTGCAAAGCAGCTCACCCAGTGAGAAGACTTTTGGCATAATGTGCCGATTTGTACAGATCCTGGAGATAGAAGGACTTCAGACCAACCAGGGAGTTATCTGATCAGCTTGGTGTTCAATGTAACTCTTTACCATGGCTCAGACTTTGTTACTTGCAGTTACAGTTTCTCATTTTAGATTGTGCAAATTTTGCATTTGTTTTTACATGTTCTTTGTTCATGCTCTTTATCATTTTTCTGAGTTGGAAAGTTAGATTGCATCATAGTTTACTTTATACATATTTGTATTCTTCAGTGGTGAAGTATATTGCAAAGCAGCTCAGCCATGTGAGAAGACTTTTGGCACTTTTTCGTTTTTCGTTTTCTGAGTTGGAAAGTTAGATTGCATTCAAAATGTACAGAAATACTTAATTTTGTTAAAGCTTTTTATAAAAAATGCTTCTGACCAGAGCTTTGTTTCCTTGTCATTAATGTTGAACACCACCAGAGGGGCTCTCACCTGAAAGGTCTCTGCTTCATGTGTCTTCAGCAGAAGATCTAGACTTTGATTGCTATATTTTCAGTTAATATTGACCTTACTGAGCTTTAGCCATATCCGCTGCCTATCATAAAATATGTTAAGTACAGTGAACCTTTCTAAAATATACAGTAGTAAAGAGACAAACCCACCAGCATTATAGTAGCCAAATTCTTGTTTGTGGGCTGTATATATAAAATTGACTTGAAAAAGTTGCTGATTTTAGAGTACTGGCACCTTTTTCATTCCAATTCAAGCACTGAGTATATTGCAAGCCTTTTTTAAGCATGGTGACAATAAGTGATTTCATCTTATCAATGATGTGTATTGTAACCCTGATTATCAGTAACAATGACCAGACGATGAACCTGACAGGTTAAAAAGTGAACTTCAGTAAGAGATACAGTTTAAATGTGTCAACTTCCTGTATTGCAACAGTGTGTACATTTGGTTGTTACAGCAGCAGAGGTACTTCTGAAAACACAAATTACTTAAATAGGGACATCTTGTGTAATTATGCCCGCAAAGCTGAAGCTCCAACCTCTCTGTTTGAGGTAATCATAAAACGGATAGGTTGCAATAAACAGAGTGAAAAGGGGAAGAGGAACCTCTACTTTGTTTATCTTTTGTTTGAAAATGTTTTCAGTCACACACTCAATCTCATTCTCTGAACGCTGATCTTTGACTTTTAAGGATGGAGGAAGAAATCGAGTATTCTACGGTTGTTTTTAGAGATGTACGTGCAGCTCCAAAAGGTAAGGGACTGTTGCTCTATTAAAAGTGTAGACTTTTTCATATCTATTGAAGGGTTCTGTGTGGGAGAATCAAACTGTTCTAGTCACATAAATAAGTTGTTTTCACTCGTTTGCAAGATTTCAAAAGCTCTGTGAATGAACACAAAGTTTGAAATGTAAAGTAATGTCACTTCTATGATGCACATTATCGTACATACAAGTTTAATTTACTTTTATCAACACCACAATTTCAAGTAATTGGTTTTCTCCATAGTGTTGCTGCAGGAATTTGTAAGTGAAACAAGCACCAAAGCAGCAAATGCATCTTCCGGAAGTTGTTAAATCTCTTTAAACAATCGACAAAAAGCATCACACAGGTGTCCAAATGAGATACACAGTCTAGCGTACATCCAAACACGAGGCAACAAAAAAGAGGCTTACTCAAGATATAATTTGGAAATCATAGTCTTTTTGCTGTCTTGAGTCAAGACAGCAAAAAGACTATGATTTCCAAATTATACGTACATAATTCCAATAAGTATTCCAAAATGTATTCACTTCAGGTTTACGAAAGTAACTGTAATCAGATTACTCGTTTTTCAAATACCGCCAGCTGAATACACTTGTTTTTTGTATTCTGATTACGTAACGCCATTAGGCCTACATGTATTCCGTTACAACCCAACCCTGTGTATATCTCCATAATAACGTGAGAGAGGCAGAGAGCTGCCTGCAAAATAAATGATGGCTCAAAGTTCACTAATGAACTTTTTTTTTTTTTTTAAAAGCCAGACTCCAAGAAGAGCCCCCACTGCCCTCATCTAGCAGCGATTATGTCTTAAATGTCTGGTTAGGATGTATTAGAACGAAATCTAAAATGAAAATGGTAAATAAGCAATCTGTATGTAAAAAACCACCTGTATGTAAATTGTAAATAAGCCATCTGTATGTCAAATATGTATTATATGTCTTAAATGATATGATGAATTGGAAATGGGGGACCCTGTTGTAAACAAGACGAAAGTCTTTCTCTGGTCTGCATCCCCTTAACAATTGTATGTTTTGAGCTGTACTGTACTGTACCCAATATACAAGCTGTTAATAAACTTTTCAATCAATCAATCAATCAATCAATCAGTCTATACGATCATTTTCTGATAACGATGCAATAGCCCCGTCTCCCTCTCCCCACGCCTCCCTCTCCCCACGCCTCCCTCTCCTGCTGCTGGGCTGTCAGAAGAAAACAAATGTTAACGGAAACTCTGCCGCACTGTTCCCTCGTCCCTTGGAAGAGGCGGAGAGGTGGGTGTTTTTCATCTGCTGGTGGACAGTCCGGAGAGCTATACACAGGGTTGGGTTGTAACGGAATACATGTCTGCTGTCCTCTCTGATGTAATATCAAAAACTGTTTGACGTGCAGCACCACTACCATTGAAAGAAATAATTTATAATATTTGACCTCTTTAAGTGTCCCATCCTATAACGCTTGGAATGGACATTGACGTCAATTATCAACAGAAAGTGCTTTACTTCCCCATTATTAACACGAGACATGTTAATGTATCGGAGTGAAGAATCATTCAATGTTAATCCAGTTCAAACCGGAGAGACGTGATGTAAGGAATACATATTTATTGTTTACACGTCATATGAATGAAATGATTGCCATGATAATACAACAGGAGAATGTAATGGTGTTTGGCGATTAGGCCCCGGTTTGCAGGATAATCATTCAGGAGGGAAATCCCCGGGGTCTAGACACTGGTGGTGGTGATAAGTAGGTGGGACCGGTCTGAAGAAGGAAGTTTAGCTTTGTCCTGGAGGAGACGGGAGGCGAGAGGGGTGGAGGAGGGTTGCGTGTCGTCACCTGAAATGACAACTGACAGGGAGGAAGAGCAGGTATTTAAGGGATTTTGCCTGTGCAGCAATTGGCTGCTGAGGGGTGACGCCCTCGTATTTAATGAGGGGGGAAGGGAGCCATAGAGTGACGTGTGAGTGACTCGAGTTAGGTCTTCCTTATTGAACTTGCGCTAAAGCTTTCATTTGTTTCTTTGTGTCCTCGTGTTGTTATTGTGCTGTCCAGAAAGAAAAGAGGACCCAACTATTTATTCCGAAGTAAAACCTTCGGGGTCTGCTTCTACTGTACCAAGTGAGCTATAAAAACAGTTTTTATTTCATCACTAAAGTTTTACAACCTCATAAACGAAAACATATTATTTACTTGTTTGTAAAGTAAGACTTAACACTTGATAATGAAAGAAAGCTACATTTGTCCTGTAACATTTTGTAATTGAAACATGGATGTTCTTCTGTATCAAATCAATTTGCTAAATTAAAAGCGCCTAAAATACATCAATCATCTTTAATATGTCCTGTATGGTTATAGACGTTAACATGTTGGTCATAAGGGATTTGTTTTGTGCTCGTAAATGTCAATCATTTAATCTGAAGAAAAAGAGACAACAGTGTATTACAAAATGACAAATGTATTTTCTGTGCACCCATCATCACGTTGATATCACTTGGTTATAATTACAACTGTGATTGAAGTATGATTTGTCTCATTACAAGCAGATGGTGAAGCAGCTGCATGCTCTCACTCTCACTTGCTGGCGGTGTGTTTGGGGATACTGTGTTTCCTCTTGGTGGCGAGCATCAGTGCCATCGTCTACCGTGAGTTAACACACCGAGGAACTCTCAATAAATAATAACGGCAGCTTTAATATATTTTAGGCCAGCTGAGTCCGTGTGGGTTGGTATTGCTATTTCATATGAGTTCAGATTTCTCAGATTTGTGCCTGCTGTTGTTTAAATATCAGTCATCAATTTTATTTTCGTTATGATTGTTCAGTTAGATCTAATACACACATGTTTTTTCCACATATGTATATTATTATTATTATTTATTGTATAATATTACAGTATACAGTATTCATTATATTTAAATATATATTTTACGTTTCTTATGCCTGCATTTTACTTGCTCCATTGTGTCTCTTGGACTGTTTTATTTATTTATGTTATAAAGGTATGTTGCCTTGTTGTACGAGACTATTACTAGACGTTCATTGACAAAAACTGAACTGGTTAACGTGGATATGACAATAACACTTTAGAATGTTTTCTCTGTTTTAATATGATCTTCAAAGACTATACAAGATGGAAAGTAAGTTTGGTAGAAAATCAGTCTACAAAAACAATGTATGGAAAATAAGGCTTCTCTTATAACAGGGAATGTGCCACAGTTTTTTGTCTGAGTGTTTGATGTGTACTTCTCATTCTCGCCACAGTCAGTGTGTTGATGACAAAGCAGAAATCAAACCTCAGCGTCCTCACAGCAGAAAATGAGCAGCTGATAACGGAGAGAAACCTTAGAGAGCGAGAGACGGAGCAGCTGAGCAGAGTCACTGACAACCTGAACTGGACGCTGTCAATCATCCTGAGGTTGGACACCTTCCGCGTTCACGACTACTGCCCAGATAAAGGTAGGTGCATCCTGCTATGTTGACACACCAGTAGTTATTCATCTTAAAATACAAGCTTGTTGCAAAAATCCATTTTTTTTAGAAGGACGTAGGGATGATGAAGAGTACAATGGCCCTGAATGTATCACAATATTCCCCTATGCATCTAAAGACAGTTGTTGACTTGAAGTTTTTACCAGCAACACATTTTGAGTTGGATAAAATATAACTGTAAAATAAATTGCATCATTTTATTTAGGTTGTCGAGTCAGCAGAGAGGTATTGCAAACACCTGTGGTTTATTCAAACTGAAACTGCAACAGAAAGCACATTCATTATCATTTTTGTGAGCATCATTTTCAATTTCCTATATCTTTGTTTCTGTTTGTGTGTTTTTAAAAGAACAGATTTAAACTTATCCTTTTTTTCATGAATGCAGAGTGTCAGCCGTGCCTGAAAGACTGGATTCAGTTTAAGGAGAAGTGCTACCTGTTTTACAATAAAAAGTCTCCTTGGATGACAGCGCGAGAGAGCCACACGCATTGCAGAAACAAAGCTGCAGATCTGGTTGTTATCGATAGTCTGCATGAACAGGTGAGCTCTAACAGCATGCAGCCAAAGCTAATCAAGTTTTTATTTGTGTTTCAATAGAAATGTAGACATACCATGAACATTCAGACCTAGCAATATAACTTAAAACATACATTTACATCCAAAATGCAATGGGAAAAGTTGTAATCATTTCATTTCATTTCAAACCTTTATTTAATCAGATTGGTCCCTTGAGATCATAGATCTCTTTTTCAAGGGAGACCTGCAGCATATAGGTTCCACATGAAACATAAAACAATAAAGGACATCATACATTATATTTACAGGATACATTTACATAGTTGTAGACATTTACAAGTGCCCATAGTATCAACAAGCATTTCATTTAGCCTAGCTTTAAAAACATGCAGAGGAATGAGATTGCTCAGTTTAAATTCTAGCTGAAGACTGTTCCAAGCAAGTGGAGCTGCGCACATAAAAGCTGTCTTCTCTAAGACAGTCGTTGCTCTTGGCACATCTAACAATACTACATCATGTGATCTCAGACAATAGCTGCTTGCAACTCTCTGTGTTATCAGAGAGCAGATAAAATACAGGAGTTTACCCAACAAAGCTTTATTAATAAACGTGTACCAATGACTGAGCCTCTTTACAGTAAGTGATGGCAGACCTGCCTTGGCATACAGGGTACAGTGATGAGTAAGTGCTTTACGATTTGTGACAAATCTCAGTGCGCTGTGATAGGCGGCATCTAACTTGTTCAGGTAATGGGCAGGTGCATTCATATAGATCAGATCACCATAGTCCAGCACAGGTAAAAAGGTCACAGAGCCTTTTCCTGGCTTCAAGCGAGAAACAGGACTTGTTCCTGAAAAAGAAACCTAGTCTAACCCTCAGCTTTTTAAGCAGGTTATTGACATGAAGTTTAAAAGTAAGACAATCATCAAGCCAGATACCTAGGTATTTATAACTGGTAACCACTTCAAGTACTTGTCCTTGCATAGTAACAATATCCAAATGTAATCTATTACATTGTGCATACTTCTGATGATCTCTCTCTGTACGACTTACAGGAATTCATCAGTAATCACACAAAGCATTACTACGACAGGTTTCATGGATACTGGCTCGGGTTGAATAAAATGAATAACAAAGACTGGGGTTGGATTGATGGACGTAATGACACTCTAGGGTAAGAGAGGTTTATTTTCAATATACAAATGTTAGCCTAATGACTATTCACACTCATGACAAGAAACATGGTGTTTTTTTAGAAACATATAAAAGGTTGTTCAGAAAAGCAAGGCAGTGCATCTGGTTTATCACCATGAGGTTTACACACAAAATGTGCTTTGGTGTATAGTTGTGCAGACAAAGTCAGAAAAATGAAGATGTAAAATAAGAGCAACTATTTAGAAATATTACAAAATATGTTAGAAACAAATCTCAATCAGTCAATCAATCGCATTCCAGAAACACTTTGTTGGTTAGAGACTTTTTAAAGCAAAAATATGTCTTGTTCAGGCTTCAAAAATATTTAATGATAAAAACAAATATAATATACAAGCAGTTATAGGGGGATTGGTATGCATTGGTATTTTTACTTAACTCTTAATTACATTTTCCTGATTAAACTTACATACGTTTAGCTAATTACCATTTCCAATGCAGGACCTGTAACATTTCTATGGTGTTTATTAGTATTTTCACTTAAGTAAAGGTTCTATATACTTCCTCCTTGACTGGCAGTAATATAATTAAAGGTGGGCCTGGTCTACAAGATCCACTACACCTCTATGGTACCCATGTACATGTCAAAATTCTTCCCAAAGGTCAAGGAATACCATGATCATAACACCAGAGGGAGCTCCACAAATCATGTGAAACCCAGATTTGGCACAAAAAAGGGGGAATACACGTTTCGCAATTATGCCACATCAAGGTGGAACGCTCTTCCCACAACTGTAAAGGAAAGTAAAACTATACTTACCTTCAAAACCTCTCTTAAAGAGCACCTTCGGGGGAGAGCATTGCAAAACTGGCCCCGGTAATGGTACAAATCTCAACCTGTCGTTCAATGGACAGCTTCCCCCCCCCCCCCATCTATGTATATACTCGCATTTTAGACTCTGTTACTAACTGTATATCTGTAGACTTGGTATGTCTTAAATGTCCGGTTAGGATGTATTAGAACAAAATCTAAAATGAAAATTGTAAACAAGCAATCTGTATGTAAAAAAACCACCTGTATGTACATTGTAAATAAGCCATCTGTATGTCAAATATGTCTTATATGTCTTAAATGATATGATGAATTGGAAATGGGGGACCCTGATGTAAACAAGACGAAAGTCTTTCTCTGGTCTGCATCCCCTTAACAATTGTATGTTTTGAGCTGTACTGTACTGTACCCAATATACAAGCTGTTAATAAACTTTTCAATCAATCAATCAATCAAAGGTACTGATATCCATGTTGTGTGTTTGAAGGTACTGGATAGGGGAGAGCTTTGAGGATGTAGGCCAGTGTGCACTGATGATCCCTGGGAGGAATGTGACAGCCAGCTGGGATCCAGCAGACTGTGGGATGAAAAACAAATTCATCTGTGAGAGCGACGTCCTAGTTAAGGTCTAACTAGTTAATGCTGTGATGTGAGCAAGTAGCTTTTCATGTTGTTGGCAGAACTGCATTTTCCTAACTGTAGCATACCAATTTGGAAAGATAATGATTTAGTATGTAAGTGTTCATCCTTCTGAAACCTGCACCACTGTTTCAAAAAGTGAGTATGTTTCTAAAATGTATTTTATTAGCTTTAATGTTTGTGTAAACAGATATCTATGTTGACTGTCTGAACGTGAAACTACTAAACCTAGAGATCTTAATGATGACAAACCACAGTTCAAACCGGAGAGACGTGATGTAAGAATTACATATTTATTGTTTACACGTCATATGAATGAAATGATTGCCACGATAATACAACAGGAGAATGTAATGGTGTTTGGCGATTAGGCCCCGGTCTGCAGGATAATCATTCAGGAGGGAAAGAACCGCTCCGATGAAATCCCCGGGGTCTAGACACTGGTGGTGGTGATGAGTAGGTGAGACCGGTCTGAAGGAGGAAGGTTTAGCTTTGTCCTGAAGGAGACGGGAGGCGAGAGGGGTGGAGGCGGGTTGCGTGTAGTCACCTGAAATGACAACTGACAGGGAGGAAGAGCAGGCATTTAAGGAATTTCGCATGTGCAGCGATTGGCTGCTGAGGGGTGACGCCCTCGTATTTAATGAGGGGGGAAGGGAGCCATAGAGTGACGTGTAAGTGACTTGTGTTAGATCTTCCTTATTGAACTTGCGCTAAAGCTTTCATTTGTAGACTCTCAAAGGAGACATCAAAGCCTGTATGTACTATCTTAACTCAGAAGGATAAGGTGGTTGGAACATGTGAAGTGTTGCCTCCAATGATCTGAAACACAAACTCCTTTAAACTTTCCGCAACGTCTTCACCAAATGAAAGCTTTTGCAACTCATGTTTGTTCCTGCGGTCGTCTTGCACTCACACGTTTCTGGTGTTACATACATGTCCCAACAGTTGTGTTTTTTTTTTTACATTGTTGTATATTTTGGTATTAAAGTTTGTTTTGTTACTTCTGTTGTATCAGTCGGTCTGTTGTATCCAACTGCTATTATTCTTCATTCAATTGTTATTGCTACATATAGGTAATCATTTAAAGAATGCAGCTGAGTGTATCATGTAAAGTTATGTTGTAAAAATATTTCACATCACTTTTTTTTGCAGGTAATAAAAGGCCTTTTTTCTGTTGATAACGGTATGATATAAAGATGTTTTAGACATAGAAGTACCTTGTTGACATAACAAATAATGTCCTTCTCCTCTCAAACTTCCCTTTTCTATAATCAGGTGTAACTCAGATTTTATAAAGAAAAAAGGCTTAACGATTTTTGGTATTTTCTGGGTATAAAAGTTAGACAATGAACTGGAGAAATGAAAGGGCCAAGATACAAATAGCAGCATCAGTCCAGTACATCGAACACATACAAAGTTGTTCAGTTTGAAGCATTGTGTCATTTAATTTGCATACAAAGTTCAGAATTTCATGGAATACAAAGAGCTTCATCTGTGTACTTCGATGTTTTGTCGATAAAATAATGACACTTCTCAAACACCATTAAGAGTAAATTCATGTTGCATTAAGTTACACTGAATTCCTTACATTTCATATACATTTTCAACCAAATGCATATTTGACATAGTGGTCCACAGGCAGCTTACTATTAGCTTTCCGAGCTCTAATTAGTTGCATGTCCCATCTTACACACATCCACGCCTGCTTTTTATCTCGTCTACGTTTGGAAACGCTGGGCTTGAACACTGCGTCTGAGTAGAGCACTGACTCTCCAAATGAATGACCTGTAGCATCAAATTAAAAGACTGATTCAAATGAACACATTTCATGTTGTATACAAATCAACAGTCTTACAAAGTCTGCATCCTCAGCACACCACTCCATATACCTTATGCTCCGTTATTTCTGGAACATCATAAATTCATCAGACAATATTGATGGAGAACCCTATTTGCATACAATACTGATGGAAGTCATTATCTGGTTTCAAGTCTGAATTAGAAAGACATTCTCCGATCGGATCCGGAAGTTTGGCAGATAACTTCCCATTCAAAAGGTAAGCCAGACAGATAATCATCAATGTACTACTCTTTTGATTTCTTCTTTTTCTTCTTCTTTGGGGGAAGTTCCTCCTCGTTTGTATCGCCATCTATTGTTGACTTGTCCTTTTTGCACTTTTTTCTTTTCTGCTTCACTCTCGCTTCTTCCTCTTTTACTTCAGCTTCCTCAAATAAATCGGCAGCCTTTTGATTTTTTGTGGTTTTAGGAGCGCAGTCCTGCTCTGTATCGTGACCCTCCTCTTCCTCAGCAGCTTCTCTGTGCTGTTTGGAAGACTTCTGCTTTTTCTTCTTCTTCCTCACCTCTCGGTCAGCGTGCAGCTCAGCAGCCTCCTCTGGACGCTCGCTCTCTGCTGCAGGTGAAGGCGTTTCATCATTTTGCTCTGCATCCTTTCTCTTTGTTTTATGTTTCCTCTTTGTTGTTTGAGAAAGTTCTGCTTCACCGGTTCCTGCGCAGATCACATCCACTTCAGTTGAAACTGTATCCCTTCTTTCCTCAGTGGCTCTCTTTTTCTTCTTTTTCTCTTTGTGTTTAACATCCGTTTCAGTACTTTCAGATGCATCATTTGGCTCTTGAACATTCTCAGTGGATCCCTTCTTTTTTCTGTGAGAGTCCTCTACTGCCTCCTCCTGCTTCTCAGCTGACTTGGAGGTCGGTGCAGTCGGTGTAACACAAACAGGTGGAGCACTGACTGGTTGGGTCTTCTTGCCCCACTTAGCCATGAACACGGCCTCCTGCTGCTCTAGTCTGGCCAACTTGGCGCTCATTGTAAAGCCATGTCGTGCTCCTCTGAAAAAACAAAACAAAATGCTTCAGAGATGAGCTTCATTATAAATATTAAAGGTCCCATGTCATGCTTTTCCGGTTATTACCCGTCTCCGCTTTTTCTGCATGTCAACGGTCTGCAAAGTTACAAACCCTCAAAGAACACCCTGTAGCGAGTAAAGCTCTAACACAGAAAATACCTGTCTATGCTGCCCCAGAACGCCTTGACACACACACACACACACACACACACACACACACACACACACACACACACACACACACACACACACACACACACACACACACACACACACACACACACACACACACACACACACACACACACACCACACACACACACACACACACACAACACACACACAACACACCACACACATCACACACACACACACCCACACACACACACACACACACACACACACACACACACACACACACACACACACACACACACACACACACACACACACACACACACACACACACACACACACAACACACACACACACACACACACACACACACACACACACACACACACACACACACACACACACACACACACACACACACACACACACACACACACACACACACACACCTCAGCTGCAGCTCCGCGGATTTCTCAGCCTGAGACAGCGGGACACGGCGAGGCCCGGTCCGTGTCCCGCTGTCCCCACGGCAGCAACCAGGAAACCACACCAGTAAGCCAGCTCACACTGTCCGCTCCTCGCAGCAGCGAGCCCCGCAACGTCCCGCCAACACGGCACCCAGACCCCACGCAGGATTCTCATCTGTTTGTCATTGCTGGTGTCATTTTCTGGTTGCTAACAAATGCCATTGTAACACATAATCACTGATGTTCCGCTGTAACGGTGGTGGACTCATCAGAACAGAGTGGGCGAGCTGACCAATCAGAGCACAGTGGGCTCACAGGGAGGGGGGGGCAGGAGCTCCAACAAGCCGTGTAGGACAGAGAGTGAATACACATACTATACAGAGATGCTGTATGAGAAACCAATGTGAGTTTGGAACATTGAACAATTTAAATCTATTCTAGTAGACCTCAACAATGGAATTATGATCAGTAGAAATGGCCATGACATGGGACCTTTAACTTAAGTATCCTGAAATATTACATAAAACTTGGTTCAGAATATTACGAAGGAACTTACTTGTGTGCTGTGCGTCCTCCACAAGCTTTCATTAGATCAGCATCAGAAAGCCTGTTTTGCAAATGAATAATAACATCAGATAGTTAATAAAACCTGATTGATTTTAAAGAAATGACACAAATAACACCTCCAAACTAAATAACAAAAAAGATCTAGTAGATGTAGTCACGTTGACTGTGAGAAAGATATTGATAACAAATTATGATAAATGTCATCAAAGGCTGCATCAGACGAAGTTCTTACTTTGTGGTGCTGGAGAGATTCAACTTCTGGTCGTCCTCCTCTGAGCTGCTGCTGTCGTCGGAGCTGGAAGGCTTCGGCTTCAGCTCCGGCTGCTCCTGACCCGACAGCAGCGTGGACGACTGAGAGAGAGAAGCACGCAAAAACAAAGAATGTCAATGTCAGTTCAGACCAGAACCAGTCACATAGGGACGCACCATAAAAGTATAGAAATGTGTCTGTAAATATCTCATATTTCAGCATGTTTGAAACAGTAAAGGACTAGTCAGGTGATTTTTTTTTGTCATCAACAAATTCCATGAAAAGATCAAAACTAACAATGGATTCTCTGAAGTATTTCTGTGTAGCTTATTCCCATGTGCCATAGGTGTTGAGTATCAATTACCCATTATTATACAGCCAAGAAAGAACAAAAGTACCTTGACAAAGCATCCATAAAGTTTGTCTCTTGCTAGCGTGGCTTTTCGTGGCTTCTTATTGGAGATCATCCCCAAGTCTTCATCTTCCTCCACGATCTTCTTCAACTTGGTACCGTTCTGGATAGCACAGAAAACACATTACTTCCTGTCAACGATTAAACCAGCTGTTGTGGAAAGTGACTAAAAGGTAGATTAAAGGGTAACTTCTTCTACACCCAGTGGTGCAGCGGGAGGACTGGAAGGTACTCGAACCATCAGCCAAAACTGTCCTGGCCTTATTTGTAATTGTGTCATCAAGGTATCATTACAAAAGCTGACAATTCACTTGAATAAATAAATATACCAAGACTACTTCACTCACTGCCCTTAGGTTAAAATGTCCCTTAACCATGTTCTGCGTACAGGTGATTGTTGATTTTTCAAGATTCAAAGGTTTCATTGTCATATGCACAAAGCTACAGTGTAGAAATGGCAATGAAATGATTCTGACCTGAGCCCCTCCAACAATGCAACATATATAATAAAATATGATGAATATGTGAAGTAGGACTCACCTGATCAGACTCCACCTGCAGGCTGGCAGAGGCTTTATTGAAGACATGATCCCACCAGTGGAAGGTGAACTCGTCCCCTTCCTTATGACCAACCTGGTAGAAAAGAGCACCGTGTGAGTCTACAACAGGGACCACACCGTTGAAAGTGATGAGAGAAAACCCTGCATACAACTAAATGTCACTCACCCCTCCTTTGCCACATTTTATTTTGACCTTGATAGCCTCTGATATGCCGTCCTCAGCTCGCCCCAGTCCTTTGCCTGAGCGTGAGAGTGGACTGAATTAGAAATCTCCACCTGTCTGACATATTTCAGAGGTTACACAAAAGAGATCAGAGTATCTTACCCTGTTCCCAGCCATGACGCAGGAGTTGCTTCTCTGCAAACTTCAAGGCACGACTTTTCTCTGGTACAACTCCTGCCATCTGTAGAAAGAAAGGTTTGTTTGAGGAGTTTTAGAAATGTGTTCCTCACAGGACAGTGCTTTACATACTTAAATGATCTTACATTGCTGAAGATTAAACGACGAAACGGTATATATATAGATAGATACTTTATTGATTCCAATTTGGGAGATGTTTGCATTGCAGCAGCATAAAAAACACAAGGCAATGTACATAAGAGAAATTAAGACACTTTAATAAACAGTCCAATATATTTCAGAAATATAAATAAAATAGCAATACAAAGTTAAAAAGTTAAAAGATACACAAATGTAAATTGGTGCAACCTAAAGCATCTGCAGCAGTAAAATGCCATAAACACATTGAACCTTGATATTATTCCAACATCATATATTGGATCATTTTATCACAGAATGACTTAAGTTACTTTTACTTATCATACTTGAAGTACCTTTTCCTAATAATAATAACATACTTTTACGTTAGGTAGGTTTTTAATGCAGAACTTTTACTTGTCATGAGGTATTTTTCACTGTGGTTTAAGTATTTTAACTTGAATAGGTTTAGAACCTCATAATGTAATGCACTATGTGTTTGGGTAGTTAGTTGATTATGCCCACATTATTTACTGTAACTAACCATTCAAATGGAAACACTTCTCTGTATTAACACTTTAAGTAAACAGTCAAGTCAAAGGTTTATTCACAATCTTTACTGCCATGTGAATTGCACTCTCATTCAGTAAATAACCGTTAGTTTTGGATAAACTCCATTTAAACATTAGGTCTGTTTTCTTTGACTTGAGGATAGCATCTAACACAAGCCAACATTCATATTGCTCGTACTAACAGCCTTTCGTCATCTTGCGTTTCACACACAACGCTAATATGTTAGAAATGAAAACACAACATACCTCTCTTAATGTTGTCTTATTAAAACGATATCATTTAAACTGTAACGAGAACAAACATAGATTTAAATACGGCAGCTTTAGCCATGAGGTTTCAGCAGAAGGCTGACATGATACCGGAAATACGTCACTATGGCTCCCGCCCTGTTTTCTTCTTCTCGGTGTTAATATGCAGCAGAGACTCATCGAGTGGGAGTTCTGGTCATGGATGGTTCTGGTACACCACGTTTTTCACAAAGAAAAAACTACATTATATCCAGAAACAAAGACAAATGTAAAGCCTTTATATGCTTATGTAAGATATATTATATCGCCACCTTACACTATAGTTAAACCAGTGCTTGAAGAGTTAGTGTTTAAATTCTCAGATCTTCATAGGCCTACTCTGGTTACTGCTAGTCCTGCATACCTAAATACAAAGAGTCTGCAAAATAATTAGAATCAAAATATACAAAAGTGCCAAAGTAAAAGTACAAATTAGGCAGAGTGTCCCATTTAAAATACATCAGTAGATGGCAGTGTTTCACACCAGAGTAGTGGTCTGAAAAGCATCCCAGGTGCAAATATGTTACGCTATACACATCAACAGCATTAGTTTTTAAGAAAGACTTGTGCAACAAAAAGGTGTACTAACTAAAGGGAGTTTTACTGGTTTATATCTTCATGCAGAAGAACAACTGAGTAAGTGGCTGCACTCCTCTCTGATCACAACATATCTGATGGATACTACATTATTTAAGAAAGGGCTTGCAGGATTCAGGATCTCCCTTTATGAGAGATATCTACAGATATCATATCCAACAGAAAACAGGTTCAGGCTCTCTGCTTTACAAACAATGAGAGAACAAAAGCCAAATCATTACAACATACATTTTTATTATCATTCAATCTCAATCCCTTTTTCAAATGAAATGTTACATGGTATCTAATAATCTTGTTTCTGATGGTCCTTGTTTGAGTGTAATAAAAAGTCTGATTCAAGGTTGTTCACAGAACTTTTAAAAAACATGTTGTGATGAAACCTCCTCTCTGTGCTCAGCATGGGACTGCTGCAGAGCCCCAATGTGGCCTGCAGGAAACATTACATTTCCCCCTGTTCTTGGTTTCCGTGCAGTGAGGATGTTTGCTCCACCAGGCCTCCATCCATGAGTTGTTTATCTGTGTCACCACTCAGCAGGGGGGGGGGGGGGGCTACTGTTCAATAGGAAGCCCTCCAACTGCTGAGAAGGCTGACAGACAGTTATCAAGAGGAGGTTTTTACACAGCTGTCAATACAAAAAATAATAGTGAGACAGAAAGAGAACTTGGAAGAAACATAAAGAAAGACTCATTCCAATTACCACTAGAACCGCCAGAGATTTGTTATACCTAAAACCGCCACTGGGGTCAAATTGACCCGGCATTAGAATGCATTGATTTTCAAGGTAAAAGTATTGCTTTAAAAAGAAAAATGGTCCTGTGGTATTGGTATTTTGACAAGCAATTTTGTTAAATTGTTTAGTTTATTAACACTACAATTCTTTCACACACTGTGACGTCACGAGCTACCCACAATGCAACACGCGCCATATATATATATATATATATAAATACGCCATTTTCATGGAGGTGCAAATATCCTGGAAGTGCAAATATAAACAGCTAGCTAACGTAGCAAGGCAGAGCGCACTAGGTTTTTTTTCTGAATTAACGACCGAAGAAATCGCTGCATGTCTTCGGATTACATCTCTGGACTTGAGGGGTGTGCTTTAGGTCGTTACCAGCGTAAACTAGAGCTGTGTGGGTTGTCGGATTGCCCTTACAGACTGCGTCGATTTTGGCAGCATCTACGTCTATCTTCTGGAAACACCAGGTGAATACCTCACTTGTCACAATAATATTATCATGCCATTGCATATATGTGGTATTTTAGAGTTGACTAGATATTGATTAAGGCAATAGATTATGATATTCAGTACAGGAAGCTTAGCAACACCTAGACGGTGTACGGCCAGTGCTTGAATTGGAATGAAAAAGGTGCCAGTACTCTAAAATCAGCAACTTTTTCAAGTCAATTTTATATATACAGCCCACAAACAAGAATTTGGCTACTATAATGCTGGTGGGGTTGTCTCTTTACTACTGTATATTTTAGAAAGGTTCACTGTACTTAACATTTTTTATGATAGGCAGCGGATATGGCTAAAGCTCAGTAAGGTCAATATTAACTGAAAATATAGCAATCAAAGTCTAGATCTTCTGCTGAAGACACATGAAGCAGAGACCTTTCAGGTGAGAGCCCCTCTGGTGGTGTTCAACATTAATGACAAGGAAACAAAGCTCTGGTCAGAAGCATTTTTTATAAAAAGCTTATTAAGTATTTCTGTACATTTTGAATGCAATCTAACTTTCCAACTCAGAAAACGAAAAACGAAAAAGTGCCAAAAGTCTTCTCACATGGCTGAGCTGCTTTGCAATATACTTCACCACTGAAGAATACAAATATGTATAAAGTAAACTATGATGCAATCTAACTTTCCAACTCAGAAAAATGATAAAGAGCATGAACAAAGAACATGTAAAAACAAATGCAAAATTTGCACAATCTAAAATGAGAAACTGTAACTGCAAGTAACAAAGTCTGAGCCATGGTAAAGAGTTACATTGAACACCAAGCTGATCAGATAACTCCCTGGTTGGTCTGAAGTCCTTCTATCTCCAGGATCTGTACAAATCGGCACATTATGCCAAAAGTCTTCTCACTGGGTGAGCTGCTTTGCAATATACTTCACATTGTTAGAAAAGGCTCCAGAAGGCCTTGGGGACATCAGTATCAGGGGCTGGAGCTGGACAGGCTCTTTCATCAGCACTTATCCTTCCCTTTGCCAGCCAGGACCTCACATACTGTTCCGGATTGAACTGTCCTAGTGATGGTCCATTACATTTAATGAAAACCAGGCTGGACAGTCGGCTGACAGAGAGAGCATTCCTTTTTGCAGTAAGGATATCGTTCATGCAGCTGAATGCCCGCTCACACTCACTAGTGGAGACAGCGATAGTTCGGACTGCTTTCAGTAGAGGCTCCATGGCAGCAGGTGTACGGGATGCCCTGGTTTCCTTGTATTCGCGAAAGCCCTGAACAGTCTCTCTTCTGTCCACTTTCAGCACTTCGCACAAACGTAGCACCTCTACGTCCCCATACTGTACGTCTAACTCCTCTTCAGGCCAACTTCCAGGATGGATAACTTTCATGTCCTGGATTAGCTGATTGTCCCGGGCCTCCCGGCCATGTAATGGGATTTCTCTTGTGCTGACATGAGAGGAGGTTGTGGAAGTCATTCTGTGTCTCAGATTCTCTACCATACTGCGGAAAAACTGACCTGCATGAATCTGTACAAGCCTGCCATTCTCACGCAGGGCAACACCCTTGAAGGACTTCTCAGCTAGAGCTGTATGAACTGTAGTCATGTGTGGGCCAGGCATGGTGACCATGGATTCAAAAACTCGTATTTCTCGAGTTAAGAGCCTATCTGCTGTAGGCAGTGTCATCTCTCTTTTTTGGAGTTGCCGAGAGAGGTCGCTGAGCTCTGTGAGCGCATCGTACATCAGTCCCAGATTGCTGACAAACGTTGCAGATGTGAGCACATCATCCAGGCCCTTGTACTTTGCTCTGTCTCTGGAATCCCTGCTCGTGTCATTTGCAGCATTTGTGAAGTGATCATGAAGCACTCGGTAGTTTTCCCAGATTGCTCTGACGCTCCTTTCACTTGAAGCCACCCAGCGGATGGACAAAACACGCCCTATCACCAGGAGACGCTGTCCGACTGCTTGCGCACACTGCGCTAACTGCCTCTGATTTTTGGGGGAGGCATGGAACAAGGAATAGAGTTTGTCAAAAAAGATCTGGAAATGATTGAGCCCTGAGACCTCCTTGACCACGGCACATCCCCAACTGCCAGCTCTAGCCGATGATTGGAGCAGTGCCACACAAACAGGCTTGGGAATTTACTACACAACTGGGTAGCAACGCCTGTTCTCTTCCCTAGCATGACTGAAGCCCCATCACATGCAAAAGAAACGAAACACTGACCTAAAAAGTCCTCGTTAAAATCTCTTCCAAGACACTCCATTAACGCCTTTGTGATGTCATCCAACTCGATCAGCTCCCAAAAAAACGTTTCGGGCTCAGCATCAGCTAATGCTGAGCGTAGACACATAACAAGCACCGTTTTACCACTAATAGTGGTAGATTCATCGACCAAAACACAGAGTTTTCTTTGGTTTTCTGTAATGTCTTTTGCCATTTTTTTCTTCAGCTCATGAGCTATGTGGTCGATGATTTCGCCACAGGTTTTATTGGAGTGCAAAACCCTGCCCACGTTCAGCCCATTCAGTTTCTGTACATTCAAATCAATTGGCATGCCTGTGAATGGCCGGCTATGTTTGCCAATTTTATATGTCGTTCGAAAAACTCTGATAGTGGTGTCTAATTCAGATTTATGCATAGACTGCACTTGATGTTGAATAGTTTCACGTGAAGCAGATGTAAGGATGTCAGCAGCTTTTACATGGGCTTGTGATTCTTTATGTTCTTTGATTTTTTTTTTCTCAGGCTAGCTTGTTGTTTGCCCTTGTCAACACCGAAATGAGACACTGCACACTCACCCCATTCAGTTGACAGTTTCAGTCCTTGTCCAGTGTGTATTCCCAAAGATTTGACATCTCTGCATATCCGACATCCTAGCTTCTTATCTTTAAGAAGGAGCCATGCATTGGTCTTGCAAAAATATTGCACTTGGTCAGTTGTCCAGCAGTCAGGTGCATCGCTTTGCCCGGTGTTGGTGGTGGCAGTTGCGCCAGCAGCAGCTAACGTTAGAGACTCTGGAGGAGGCGGCGGAGCTAGTGCTAATGCTAATGCACTAGAACTTGGAGCAGGAGGATCAACCAAAGAAAGCTCCCCATCAGACACAATTTCCAACACAGACACAGCATTCTCTGTATTTGAAGTTTCTTCCGGCGACAACCGCTGTCTTTTTGCACTTTTATTAATCCACGCTAACATTTTAGAAATGCTAATTTGTGACGTGACTTGCTTTCCTTCTCTCGGGGGCGTGCCTGCTCTGTTCTATCACTCTACATAGCCACCCACTGGGTGGGAGTTG